TTTATGAAGCCATTTCAGTTTGTGCTTTTGATAATTTGGTTCTCTTAAATACATTGTTACATGTTAATTATATGCCAATACACAATTTTATTGAGATTTTTTGAATGTCAATCTAGAACAAGAAAGTAAAGTTTGTATAGGCAAAATTTCCAGGGTAATTGGCTTAGAAACAGAACAGATTCCACTATGCCGAAAGAATAATGGAGAAAATGAATAAAGTGTGTATTATGCACTGTGTTTTCTCTCTACATTGAAATGGAAAACATTATAAGTAAAATATTACTATTTTATTTTAAAAATAAAATAACTTTTTTTTTTGAGACGGAGTCTCGTTCTGTCGCCAGGCTGAAGTGCAGTGGTGGGATCTTGGCTCACTGCAATCTCCACCTCCTGGGTTTAAGTGATTTCCCTGCCTCAGCCTCCCAAGTAGCTGGGATTACAAGAGTGCACCACCATGCCCGGCTAATTTTTTGTATTTTAGTAGAGACGGGGTTTCACCATGGTGACCAGGATGGTCTTGGTCCCCTGACCTCTTGATCTGCCCACCTCAGCCTCCCAAATAGGCGTGAACCATCACACCCGGCCAATTATTATTTTAATAATAAAATGGTATGCTAATATTAATTCTTTAAGCCTTTACTGTGCTTTTTATATTACTGAAGAATTAACTGTACTAGCAGCCTTCATTCACAAAGAAAGACTTAGGTGGCCATGTGATCGAACCACATCACAGACTCCTAAGACTGACCCCGCCCCTAAAAGTCTGTGATTCATCCAGACTTGTGCCCTGTGATGCATCCAGTCTCAAACACGTCTGGCTCTTTGATGTCTTGAGATAGCAGTCAGAATTGCACATGAAGTTGAAGGCATACTGCCATGGCTTTTCATAAAAGCGAGAGAAGTATAGAGACTTTTTCTGTGCACCTCCTGATGCCACCCCACTCCCAGGCCGTTTGGCCTGAAGTTTTAGGGAAAATCTATGTTTTTCAACCTCAGCACAGACTGGTGGGTTGGCTTCCTGGGTTGCAGCTGACAGCCAGCGTTCCATGGGTGCAGTTTTACTACCTTACTGCAAAGGCATTGCCATAGACATTGTCACTTTGGAGCAATATGCTGCTTTCCTGCTTGTTTGCACAGGACTCTGAGGAACTTCCCATTGTCCATCCTCATGCACTTGTCCTTCTGCTTCCTAGACACTTAACAGATTTTATTGGCTGTTTGTAAATCAAACTGGTCCCAACTAATGACAATTCCTGATGAGCATAGCTCTTAAATTTTTCCATTTGGGATGTATCAGCTTTTCTCTATCCTTGCTTCCTATGTTAATGCCAATGCCTTTTTTCACAATGAAATAGGGGCCCTGGTCCCATGTTTTGCTCAAAATATGGGCTGATAACCAGAGGAATATATGCCACCTAACTGTACTTGGCTAAGTAGCCAACAGAAGACACTTTTCTCTTTGAATTTCATAAAATAATTTCGTGCAGAATAATCTCACAGCCTCTAGAATTTATTTAAACAAATCTTCAGAAACATAATTTTTTTGTTAGAGAATTCCTGAATTTGAAATTAGGGTAACTAACTATAGGGACTTTTTCATCACCAATTTTTTTCAACCATTATTTCCTACTCATAATACAACTGTGCTTATGTGATATATTTACTTTTCCAAAAAAGTTGATATTTTTTAAAGGCCCCCTCTTTAAAATTGGACACTCTCCTCTTCACCCTATTATATTTACAAAAAATGTTCTTCTTAAAAAGATCCATTTGTATTTAAGTCTTTAGTGCTCCCATTCTCTGTTGTAGAGTCAGTCATCTCTGCTCACTCCTCAAACCCCATAAATATTTATCCAGTGCCTGGGGTAAGCAAAGTAGGAACTCACCCAGTCTTGGTGTGCTTACCATGGCCTAAATCCCTGCATACCCCCAGAATCCTTCTTCATGACAGAGTCACATTTGCAATCTGGCACAGTAGCTTGCATAACAATAGATTCCAGTGGCCTAATTTCACCCTTGAGTTCCTGCACAACTCTCATTCAGCTGCCCTCCACTTGGTGATTTATCTAGATTTATTGTGTCAATTTGGCAGAATAGCTCTGATATAACCACTGTTGGATCTAATATCATCAATCTTCCATTTCCAGGAATAATACAGGACTGGCAATCTCCCCATGATCTTCTTCATTAAAAGCGAAGGTCTAAGAGTACACCTATGAGCTATCATTGTTTCATCCTTTGGAGAACTCTCTGTTCCAAAATCATCGGTGGTCCATCCTCTCCTTTTAAATAAATTATTCTCTCTCGGATTCATTGAAAGGAACTGTATTGCTCTTGAAGCCTCACATATAATACTCCTCAATTTCTTTGCATTTTGAGGACCACGTTATTGCTGTGTGATTGCTCATTTTCCATACCTTGTAGACTTGCTCATTATTTGAACCATGTTACAGTTTAGGAAAAAAGCTAATTACTTCCTGAAGTCAGATGTTTGATACTTCCAGTTATCCATGTAATGGGAGGACAGGAATAATTTTGAATAGGATGGTTTTTACAAAATCATTGCATTTCTGTTACAGCTACCTGCACTAAAATTAATAAACAACTCACTGAGTGGTTGGACACTCAAAATTCTAGGTGTAACTTTTATCATGATTACTAATCATTCCTTAAGATAAGAAATGTATTAATCACTAACTCTGTGTAAGACCAAGTGCTAGGCGCTAGGAATTCAAGCAATTCAGAAAACATCATCTCTGCACTGAAGGATCTCACAATGTAGAATCCAGTCACATTGCAGACATGTAAAAAAACACATCAAGGTCATTCAGTGTGACAGATGACACATAATAGGTAAAAAGTGAAGGGCAGAGTGATTTCCTAGACATCTAGGAGAAAAGCTGTTTTCAGAGTAGGGTGAATAATGATATTGAGTGGCATCTTGACAAATGGATCAGAGGGTTGTGGGCAGACCATGTTAGGAAGGGGAGGGGCCAGGAGGCATTGAACAGTTTGGCCATGGTGTGCAGTACAACAACAGAAATGGTAGCAGAGGAGACTAGACGAGACTGCTGGGTGTGCCAAGAGCAAACGTTAGAACTTCATCCTGAGGGCAAAAGGTGGCCAGGGGATTTTAAGCAATGAAATAATATGGTCAAATTTGTGATATGAGTGTGCAAGCAGAGAGATCATTTCGGAGGTTATGACCGTGTTAAAGCAAGAGCTGATGGAAGCAGTGACAGTGGGAATGAAAAGAAGGGAATTGATTCAACATGCAGGTAACAGGTCTAGCTGAGTCCTTCAAACATTTGTTCGGGGTGGTAGTAATTAAGGAAGAGCAAGAAATCAAAGGCGACCCCAACTCAGGATTCATTTCAGGTAACTAGGTACATGGTGCTTCTAATAACCAGCAGAAGGACTGCGGGAAGAACAGCAGGTTAGTACTAAGGTTAGTCTGAGTATTATGGAAGAGCTCTGTAAAGATAATGAGTTCTCCTTTGAATGTACTTAGTTTGGCATGAGGTATCTAAATGAAGGTTTCCGATAAATGATTACATAAATCTGGCGCTCAGGCTTAGAAATAAATATGAAAGGGTCACTAGCATAGGGTTCAGTCAATTTTGCATTCTGGCTGGTTGTACTTGAGGTATTACACTAAGAATGACAGCAATAATGATAAATAACACATGATCCCTCTCTGAAACATAGTAAGGAACAAAACCACAATTATTTGTATCTTATTCCTCTCATATATAAGGTATATGAATCTTATTCATGTATTTATTCCATGTCCTAAAATAAGGCTTTGCCAATACAAACTTTACTTACCTTTCAGACACATTATTATTTTAAATAACTCTTTTGATCATTCTTAAGATTAGCAACTATCAAATAAATGAATTACTAATATGGTATAGTTTCTGATTCCAAAGTATGAGAATAAACCGTTGATTCCAGCTGGAAAATCATTTAGCTGAAACATTATACTTTTTATCATATCCCCTTTATATCACATTTGTGAAGGACAGATTTGTTATACTTCCTGAATCAATGAAGATTTGGCAGCACTTATGTCATTTGGGTAGAAAGAAAGTGTTCAAACAGAGCTTTTACTTTTTTTTTTAAGACAGAGTCTCCTTCTGTCGCCCAGGCTGGAGTGCAGTCGCATGATGTTGGCTCACTGCAACCTCCACCTCCTGGGTTCAAGCGATTCTTGTGTCTCAGCCACCTAAGTAGCTGGTATTACAGACGTGCACCATCACACCTGGCTAATTTTTGTATTTCTGATAGAGACAGGATTTCACCATGTTGGCCAAGCTAGTCTCAAACTCTTGACCTCAGGTGATCTGCCCACCTCAGCCTCCCAAAGTGCTAGGATTACAGACGTAAGCCACCATGCTCGGCCAGAGCTTTTACTTTTGCCCCTTTAAAATAGCAGCTCTCTTTGAAAAGTAAATATATCACATAAGCACAGTTGGCTTGTGGGTAGGAAATGATGGTTGAGAAAAATGTGTGATGAAGAAGTCCCCATAGTTACCCTAACCTCAAATTCAGAAATTCTCTGACCAAAAAAAAAAAAAAAAATGATCTGTATCTTTGTTTAAGTAAATTATAGAAACTCTGGAATTACTGTGTGCAAAAATCATTTTATGAAACTCCAAGTGAAAAGCTTGTTCTGTTATTTAAATCCATAGTTAGCTAGTAGATATTCCTCTGGCTATCAGCCCATATTTTGAGCAAGTGGCATATACAAAGAATAAGCTAAGAGATTCTAATGTCTCTTAAGAAAAGGAAATATTGAATAGACAGTTTTTCAGATATGTGCATTGAATTGTTTTTACCACCTTTTATAAAATGGATGTGCTCACATAAGGCATGCAGCTATGTATCCTGTGATTTCCACAGAATGGAAAATGTCAAACCTTGTTGCTGGAAGTGCTCCAAATTACATCATGTTTTTTTTTGTTTTTGTTTTTGTTTTTTCTATTACTATTAAACAGGGAAGGCCATGGTAAAATTTCAGTATTTGCTGTCAAAATGGCTTTAGCCACGTTGTGTGGAGGGAAGATCATGGACAAATTAAGATGTAAGTTATTATTCCTTGTGTCTCTCTTTGCTTTTCCCTGCTAGGTACTACCCTTTTCGCTCCCTCATTCCATGTCCCCTGCCCATTTGTGTCTCTCCTCATTCTATGAGAGTTGTTTGAAATACATTTTTCACTGATGTTTGGATTTTGTCATAGCGATATTTTCATATTAGATAAATGCTAATGAAATGAATGTTTTCCTCTACTTAAAACCTGTTGAGTATCACCAACTGGCCTCTTTCTGAAATTAAAGTAAAATAAGCGCTCTTTGCAGTTAATTGTGCTATACTGCCTTACAGGTGGTACAGGATGATAGGGACATGAAGGCTTAGTGGGAAACCTTCCCCTTTAAGTCATCAAAAGCAAGGCTCCTGGCACATTTCCTCATTCTTCTCAGCCAGCACTACTCAAATCACTAGGAACTCCAAAGGTTTCAAAGCCAACAATGTCAGGAAAGAAGAATAGGAATTACACAGAGACAGCACTGACAGAGTCAACTAGATGCCAATAAAAGCATGGTAGCTAAAGTACATTGAATAATTGTGGGCCTTAATGAATATTTTGTCTCTAAATATGGTAGAGTTCCTTAACCAACAACACATTGGGGATTGTTTGTTTGTTTGCTTTGGGTAAAGAAACTGAGACTCGTTTAACCATATGGCTAAGATGACATCAGATTTGAACCCTGGCTTTTTTTTTCTACACCAGTGGTTCACCAATTTTAGCGTGCATCAGAATCACCTGGAGGGCTTTGATAAAACGTAGATTTCTGGGTCCTACCCCAAGAATTTCTGACTCAGTAGGCCTAGGATGAGCGTGGGTGACAACAATATTTATTTCTAACTGGTTTAAAATGATGTTGATGCTGCTGTTTAAATTTAAAATTTCCATTTAACCCTATCCTTTCCCCTAAATAGTATGAGTTGGGGCTATAATACTGTGTTAAAAACGGCACTGTTCTGGGAGTTGGGAGTTCCAGGTTGCAAGCCCAACTGTGTGACTAATTTTCTGAGTTATCCTTTGGCAGTTACTTCACTTCTTTAGTCCTCAGCCTCCTTCTGTATCCTAAATTTTGGGATTTTGTGAGATACCCATAGAGTCACACCTGGCTGCATGCAGCCATCTGTGTGGTTCACAGCACAAGGCTCACCTGCTGCCTGTCCTCTTCTGAATGAGATCTCTTGCTTCTTGATCCACCCAAAAGGAAAGAAGAAAGAAAGACACAGAAAAAAACCTTTTGTTCCTTTGAAATTTCCCCGGAGATGCTCCAGGGATGAATCCTCTCAGTGGACCAGTGAGTAAGTGAAAGGGACAACAAAGCCTCAGGGAGCCTCAGGTAGCCACACAGCTTCCCTCACTTCTGGGACTTCCCTCTATGGAGAGCCAAATGCAGCCAGGATTCAGAGAAGCCTAGCCAGACCTTAGGAGGAGCCATGGAGCTTCCCTTTTGTTAGCCTGAAAGATATAGAAAATTAAAAACTATCTACCTCAGTGCTTATTTGAGAGATAAGGTGCTGACACCAAGGACTTTAAAAAAACAAAAAAAAAAACAAAAAAAAAGAAACAAGCTTCAGAGTAATCCTCGCGCATTTCCTTCAGGGTTAAGCCAGAAAGAGAAAGTTTAGCAAAATGAACCAAGGCTGAGGAAGGGAGTTCTGAGAACCTTGTCTGCCAACCCCAACTGGCCATTTACAAAGAGGACATTAGATAAATGTAAAAAACAAAACAAAAGCTAAACAAAAAAAAAAAAAAAAAAACACTTGGGAGATATCTAAAAATACCTATTTAATATTATATTAATAGGTACCTGGATAGAAGGGTCCCATATTAAAATAAGTTAGAGGAAAACTAAGAAAACCAGTTTTCTGCATCTCAGAACATCTGTCAACCTTTAACATACCAGGTTAATTCTGAGCCCTCGAGGTCCTGGTGTTTGCTATCTTTCCACTCAGCTTTGCTCAGTGTAAGATTTCATCCTCCTCTGACAAGTAAGGGTGGAGGGTGGAGGAGGGGGGCTGGTGGGGGTGACAGTCACAGGAGTCACATCTCACTACAGAGGTCCCCCAGCCCTTACAGCTCATCACCTAGGGTGGCATCTCAGACCAATTACTAAACTAGTTACTGGTTAGAGAAAAAGTATGACAGCAATGGTCATTGTATGGTCCACTTTTACCTCTTGGGCTCAGAAGGGCCGTCCCTTTCCCTCAACCCATGAGTAACCCACAAACAAATGTGGGACAAATAAAGATGAAGGGAATGGTTGGTAGGTAAGGGACTAGCAATGTCAGCACTGTTACAAATCTCAAGATATAACTAAGTTATTGATCAGATCTTTACAATTGTGAAAACCCTTCCAGTTCTCTCTTGGGTCCAGGAGTTCAAAGGAAACAGTATAACTGCTACAATGCTTTCTCCTCACCACATTCCATCAACCTCCAAAAAGCACTCTTTAGTGGCCAAAGTCTATCCTCTTTAGGGCAGCGAAAGAAGCAACAAATGCATGTGTCCCCTTGGAGGTAAACTAAGTTTTCTAGTCTGCAGAAACAAGTTCCACAATATCACAGACTCTGTAAAGCTACATATAGTGTAACCCCAATAAATCGCATTCCCCACTTTGAGAGCAGCTGCACCTGAATCACACCCTTAAGTGTCCCTGGTTCTCTGACTGAGGAGTCACTCTTTGTATAGTTAATCCTAGGAAGATGGTTTTAGCGGTTTCCAGGTAATTTGGTTAAAATCAATTTGACCAAAAACAATTTAATTAAAGGTAATTTGGTCACAAAAATCTCTTCAGAATGTTAGCTGGTCAAAAATGAATATCCTGAGTCATGAATATTTCTAGTTTCAGTGATAATTATTAATTGAATGAGCGAATGTGGGCAAATTTACCCACAAAATCTACCCACAGACACCATGGCTGCCCCTTGGTGAGTGGGCTAGTGAGTGTTCCTATTGTATTCTTTTGCTGGCTTGCATTTTAATGATAAAACAGGTAAGTTAGCCAGGCATGGTGGCACATGCCTTTAGTCCCAGCTACCCAGAAGGCTGAGGCAGGATGATCACTTGAACCCAGGAGGCAGAGGTTGCATGAGTTGAGATCACACCACTACAGTGGGCGACAGAGCGAAACTCCATCTCAAAAAACCAAATCAAAACAAAACAAAACAAAAAAAACAGGTAAGGTCATGATTTTCTACATTGCTTCTGTAATAAGAAAAAAGTAAAATGAAGGGATATGGAATGTTTCAGCCTTGAGGGTTTTGATTTCCCTTCTGTAAAGTTTTTCTAATTCACGTTAAGCCAAAATGCCAGCTGTGCTTGTTTGGCAATTTTTCTATTTTTGTGCATAGGGATGAGAGATATTTAGCTTGTTCCAGCTACTCCCTTATTGTTGGGGAACACAGAGCAAGAATAATTGAGAATGTCAGAAATTTTAAAAAACAAAGAGAAAGCAACAGAAAATTTGAAGTTGATTTTCTTAATGCTTTAAAATGCATTAAAAGAGAAAACAACACTATGTTGCAACATAATTTCCATTAATTATGGCTACCATTCACTGGCAGGGTGTTCCCTGTGTAATTTCAGGGAGCATCATTGACACAGCCTAGGAGATGAAGGGCGCCCCCTGCAGTCATGTGCCATGGCAACCTAAACATAAACTTACCTAATAATACTGCTTTTTTGTCTGATTGTTCTTGGCCCAATTATAAACTGTTTTAATGGGTTGGAACATTTGTTTATACTTCTGCCTTAGGGATCCTGGATAGTTCTAGGGATCTTAAGGTATTCTAAATTCAATGCTGTAAGCCTAGTATGTCATGTGCTGTTCTAAAGCTTTGGGGAGGACTTGTTTTTAAAATACTAGTATTATGGAAAATACTGCATATTTATTGAGTTTCTATTACTAAACTGGTTGTTTTGCCTCTATGCCTACCCCTAGGGTTTCTAACGCACTGACCTACTTTAAATTCTTCAGTGTCTCCCTCAACATCTTCCGAACACAACCTAAACTCCTCAGTAGAATTCAGCCATAAAAAAGAATGAAATCCTGTCATTTGAGGCAACAGGGATGAGCCTGGAGGACATTATGTTAAGTAAAATAAATCAGGCATGGAAAGATAAATACTGCATGTTCTCACTCATATGTGGGATCTAAAAAAAAATTTAAAAAAAGCTGAACTCATGGAAGTAGAATTGTGCTTATTCGAGGCTGGGAAGGGTACGGGGCTGCAGGGGATTGAGGGGGATAGGGAGAGGTTAGCTAATGGCTACAAAATTACAGCTACATAGGAGGAATACGTTCCAGTGTTCTATAGCACCGTAGGGTGACTATAGTTAACAAAAATTGATTGTATATTTCCAAAAAGCTGGAAGACAAGATGTTGAATGTTCCCAACACAAAGAAATGATAAATGTTTGAAATGAGGGTAATGCTCATTATCCTGATGTGATCATTACACACTGAACACATGTATCAAGATATCACTCTGTAGCCCATAAATATGTACATTAATTTTTTTACTCAGAATCTCTAGAGTCTTATGGTTAATAAACTATTTGAAACAGCAGAAACCCTTTATAAATGGAGTATTTAATGAAAATGAGAGTCAATTCATGTTCTCAAAACCATAATCCAATAAAAGCCTGTGATATGCTTAACATCTGACTTTGGTGTAAAAACAATGTCCCCAGATTACATTTTGACCTTGAAAAATTAAACCTAAAGTGAATAGAGGTAACACATTCACAGCAGTTTATTCCAGCAGCTGTGCTGGCTTGGTGACAAGCTAGTTAGCATGGTGACAAACTATATAATAGCAAACCCTTTCATTCTAATAGTGATTTGCACAGAGGAATTATAAAGCACCTTGGGAAATTATGTCATTAATATTCATTAAGTACACATACTGGCAGAAATTGAAGAACAGTGGTTCAGTGAAGCCACAGGCCCTTCAGAGAAAGATCCAGGACCCTGACTTTACCTCATTGATCATCCACAAGGCCAGGCTTCCTCTTCACTACATGAGTCAGAAAACCCTTCCCTGTAAATCAAGTGCCTTCCACCCAGAAAACTGTAATTTACAGAAAGTTTTCTGCTTCTGTAGGAAGTTAATCAGGTGTTTGTCATTACATCTTTATCCTCACCGTGTCTTTGATTTTTCAAATATCTTACACCAAAATCTGAAAGTTTTAGTGATAATATAAATTGGTAAATTTCTAGCTAGATAAATGAATGTACACACACCCCAAATTTACAGTAAAACTCTCATTGTGTTTCAAATGAAGTCAGCATCTCTCTCATATATACAAAAATTTCTCCTGTTGAACTCCATGAGAGTCAAACAAAAAGATAAGTGTCTTATTAAAGACATTTAATAAGTGTCTCTCTCTTATTAAAATGTTAGTCTTACCCAAATTACTTGTGATTGCTATGTGCCAGAATCATCTACAAAAAGAAACCAGAGAAAACATTATGCCAGGAATATTTAAGCATAAAAATTAGCTTTTATATCATTCTTTCATAAAAAAAATCTGTTTTGCTACTTTGTCATTTATAGCAGATGTATTGAACAAAAACAGTGGAGAATGTTCATGTGATGAATAAATATCTTTCCTTTTCCTTTCATCAGATATTTTCTCAATGATTTCTGACTCCAGTGGGGTGATGGTTTATGGACGATATGATCAATTCCTTCGGGAAGTTCTCAAACTACCCACAGCAGTTTTTGAAGGTCCTTCATTTGGTTACACAGAACAGTCAGCCAGATCCTGTTTCTCCCAACAGGTAGGAGAAAAGTATGTTTAAGGAAGTATCTCTTTCAAACAGTGGTTGCTCTCCTTCTAGATGTCATTCCAGGTCACAAATACTCGGACAAATTCTTCTATGTGATAGCAACCTGTAGTGTATTTTTCAGCCTCTGACAAGACCTCTGAACCAGTAACTAAACCTAGCACCCCTGGATCACAATAATAGACAGTGTTTACTGACCATGAGGCAGGCCCTGCGCTAAATTTGTTCCTTTCATTGTCTAATTTAATCCTTACAACAACCCTTCTGTATTAGTCTCTTTTCACACTGCTATGAAGACATACCCGAGACTGGGTAATTTATAAACAAAAGGGGTTTAACAGACTCACAGTTCCGCCTCAGGAAACTTACGATCCTGGTGGAAGGTGAAGGAGAAGCGAAGACCACCTTCTAAACATGGCGGCAGGAAAGAGAAAGAATGAAAAGCCCAGGGGAATCTGCCATTTATAAAACCATCAGATCTCCTGAGAACTCCCTCACTATCGCGAAAACAGCACGGGGGAAACCACCCCCATGATCCAATCACCTCCCACTAGGTCTCTCCCTCAACACCTGGGAATTACAGTTGAAGATGTAATTGGATGGGGACACAAAGCCTAACCACATCACCACACCCTCAGGGTCATCATTTTCACTATCACTGCACTTTCAAAAGGGCTTAATTGTCTCATTCAGCCTCATGTGAAATACATGCTTGACCCAGCAACAAGCTTTAACATTGGTTTAACAAAGGATACCAGCAAGGAATCCCAACATCTGCCACATCATGACCTGAGAGGCCCAAAATATGGCAAACACAGCTGCCTAAATCTTCTACACCATGATATATTTGGGGTTCCAAGTGATGTGTTTTAACTGGGTATGGCTAAAACTACCCTGGGAAGCTGCATAGTTTAGGGGGCTATCTATGTGTGTACCTCTCCGGTCATGTAGAAGAGACTCCAGGCCCATTCTCCAGCATAGAAATCCATACATCAAAGGTTAGTTTACCATTTTTTGGAAATCCAAACTAACTTTTTTGTCCACTGAAAAGGCCTCTTGACTGAGTGTGGTGGCTCACCCCTATAATCCCAGGACTTTGGGAGGCCGAGGGTCAGGAGCTCGGGAGTTCAAAACCAGTGTGAGCAACACAGGGAGACCCCATCTCTACAAAAAATTTTAAAAACTTAGCCAGGCATGGTGGTACATGCTTGTAGTCCCAGCTTCTCAGGAGGCTGAGGCAGGAGGATAGCTTGAGCCCAGATGGCACCACTGCACTCCAGCCCAGGCGACAGAGCAAGGCCCTGTCTCAAAAAACAAAAACAAAAAAAAAACAGGTATATCCCTGCCCCATAAAATGCATACAAACAAATGCTCACTACACTGTACTTTACTGATTAAGAGTCAGGAAGTCTTTTCTTTTTACTGAAATTAACTTTTAAAAGCATCAATCGGCCAGGTGAGGTGGCTCACGCCTGTAATCCCAACACTTTGGGAGGCCACGGCAGACAGATCACAAGGTCAGGAGTTTGAGACCAGCCTGTCCAATATGGTGAAACCCCGTCTTTACTAAAAATACAAAAATTAGCCGGGCATGGTGGTGGGCACCTGTAGTCCCAGCTAGAAGCAGGAGAATCGCTTGAACCGGTGAGGTGGAGGTTGCAGTGAGCCGAGATTGTGCTATTGCACTCCAGTCTGGGAGACAGAGCAAGACTCCATCTCAAAAAAAAAAGGTCAATCACTTCAAAACACAAATCTATTTTTTCATTCAATTTTACTGCTTTCCAAATTTTCTCATGGCATGCTAAATGTATGGCTCCTTTTATTTTTATAGTGCTTTATGCCTCACAAAGTGAATTATCTGATTTATGGCTTGCAACAACCCTGTGACCTAACAAAGAAAATATGATTCATTTTTAACAATATAAAGTTCATAGCTAGTGAGGGCAGGGGGCTGTTTTTAACTCTGGTCTTCTGATTCCATCTGTTAATATTACTCTTGTGTTCTTGTTGTTGTTGCTTTTGTTTTGTGCACTTTCAGTTCATATTTACAAATATGCAGATGATCTGACTCAAGGAAATGTAACTACCTGTTGTATCACTTCACCCAATCATGGAAACAAGAATAATTTCATTTATATCTGAATTCTTGAATTTTAGGTAGTATATTATAGAAGAATTGGTAAATGTGCTAATGCCTCAGAATACATCTCATTCAAAATCAGCTGGAGTAATAGGACTGGGTTTTTAAAAAAAAAAAAAAAAAAAAAAAAAAGTCTTAAAATGACCTGTGCTGGGTGTGGGGCTCACACAGTAATCCTAGCACTTTGAGAGGCTGAGGCAGGAGGAGAGCTTGAGTCCAACAGTTCAAGACCAGCCTGGAAAACATAGTAAGATCTCATCTCTGAAAAAACAATTAAAGAATTAGCCAGGTGTAGTGGCACATACTTATAGTCCCAGCTACTTGGGAGGCTGAGATGAGATAATCCCTTTAGCCCAGGTGTTCAAGGTTTCAGTGAACTATGATTGTGCCACTGTACTCCAGCCTGGGCCACAGAGTGAGATCCTGTCTCTAAAAAAAAAAAAAAGAAAAAAAAGGATCTATGTGTTCAAGAATTATATGTGATATTGCCATGTTCAAAATTCCTTTTGAAATATCCTCTAGACTGTTCTATGATTTGTACATATCCTTGATGATAAGCAACTTATACATGTTGAAATCATAACAACATTGTTGGAAACTTCCAGGAGTGATTTTTAGCCAGTATGACAAATAGTCAAAATGAATAAGATCATTTCAAGTATGAAAAGAGGTAACATAAAAATAATAACACCAGTTTATTTTTGTACTTAATGAATTGGCTATAACAGCTACTCAAGAGTCTGAGGTAGGTAAGAGGAGATAGGAGGATGGTTGAGACCAGGAGTTTGAGTCCAGCCTGGGCAACATAGTGAGACCCCCATCTTTAAAGTAAATAAATAAATAAATATTTTTTAAAAATAAATAATATTATCCCATCCCCTTTGATATTCTAGTTCAAAATTTCAAGTAGTGATTTTTGCATATAAATATGTATTTTGTTATTTATACTATTACAGTACATGTATTAATATAGCTTTCTTACTTTTATCATTTTGAAAGGAACTTATAGATACAATGCATTCCTTTTGTGCATCCAAAAGGACCTGGATATTGAGAAAGAAACAGACTGAATTGAGAGGAATTATATATAAAGTAATAAAAGGAACGAGTTTTTAAAAATTTAGATGGTTCTGTCCTAACAGGATTCCCTCCTGCTCCTGTATAACAGAACCATTGACATTAACCACTAAATATTTAGTACTTAAGGAAGTTGAGGAAGCTCGAAAGGGAAGTTGTTCTATAAATTTAGAAGACTGACTGATAGGTAAATTATAAAGTGAGCTATGATGCAGTCTTGAGTAAAATTCCATGGAGAATTTCAATTGTTTTTCTTCATTATTTTTATACTGTCTTTCATATATACAAATGATGCGCTCAGAATTGTTTTTCTCCTGGTGCTACTATTGACTCAGCCTCAGTGGAGAGAATTCAGTCCTGTGTAGGCTTAGGTATAAAAAGCAAGCAATGTTTTCAGTCCTGAACTAGTTGAATAACACATTTGGCAAGTTCTGTTTCTTCAGATATTAGAGGTTTATTGAGTGCTCTTTTGTTTCAGTCTCAAGTGATATGATATTTACATAGCAGGTAAATTGATGATTCTCTGTCCTAAATTTATGTTTTTTTGGGTTTTTTTAATGCAGAAAAAAGTCACGTTAAATGGTTTCTTGGACACGCTTATGTCGGATCCTCCCCCGCAGTGTCTGGTCTGGTTGCCTCTTCTGCATCGACTAGCGAATGTGGAAAATGGTGAGTAGTTACTACCGAGCAAAGGTGATTTTTTAAATTATTGAAATTAGGCCATTAGTTCTACAGTTAGTAAGCCCAGGTCGTTGTTTTAGGGAAGCCTATTTAGTGCCTCTTAGTTTTGTTTAGGAGAGAACTAACCCAGTACCCTGTTCGGGAAGGCCTTAAAGGACCACTGAAAAATTAGGACTATCAGTTCTAAAAACTTAGTAAATCTCATGGTGTTCTTCTTAATTACAAGTCAGGTGTGGTTAAAAGACTTGGCACACATCCCATTACTGGGTATATACCCAAAGGATTATAAATCATGCTACTATAAAGACACATGCACACGTATGTTTATTGTGGCACTATTCACAATAGCAAAGACTTGGAATCAACCCAGATGTCCATCAGTGACAGACTGGATTAAGAAAATGTGGCACATATACACCATGGAATACTATGCAGCCATAAAAAAGGATGAGTTTGTGTCCTTTGTAGGGACATGGATGCAGCTGGAAACCATCATTCTTAGCAAACTATCACAAGAACAGAAAACCAAACACCGCATGTTCTCACTCATAGGTGGGAACTGAACAATGAGATCACTTGGACTCGGGAAGGGGAACATCACACACAGGGGCCTATCATGGGGAGGGGGAAGGGGGGCGGGACTGCATTGGGAGTTATACCTGATGTAAATGACGAGTTGATGGGTGCCGACGAGTTGATGGGTGCAGCACACCAACATGGCACAAGTATACATATGTAACAAACCTGCACGTTATGCACATGTACCCTAGAACTTAAAGTATAATAATTAAAAAAAAAAAAAAAAAGACTTGGCACAATAGAAGGCAAACTTCAACAAGGAGTGTGACATTATTTTGTATTTGTTTTAGATCTGAATTTCTCATATTTGCATACATGGCACTGATTATTTCTTCCCAGTCACTCAACCAGAAATAGGTGGGAGAAATGAGAAAAAAAAAAAATAGATGATAGCACCCTGTTAATCTTCAGTCATATGTTCCAGATTGTGAGCTTTCAATAGTTGTACTAACGTTAAAGATAAGAGTAAAATAACTTTCGTATCATGTCTTTTTTTAAAGCAAGTATTTCTAGGATAAAAGGAACTGCTGTTGGCATATCCAGATTTAAGTATGAAATACAGTTTGGGGCAAATTTTATAGAAATTTAAACATGGAACTGTTCAGTGCCTCCATCTAATCTTTAGGTGTTCCTACTTACTGTTCAATGTAACTCTGAAATTTCTCCAGACTTGACAAGGAAATAATTTAGTCTATATCTCTTACTAGAGATTTAACTTAAGTCTCTATATATTACTCAACTTCTGTGTATTTCTTTAATATACATTGAAGCTAAAGTTAGATTAATTTTAAATTATCATTCAGAATTTTGAGCATCTGCCCTTATTTATCTCAGTTAGTTAAAAGTTATGAATTTATCCTGTTTTTCTAATGGAGAAAATTTAAAGAATGAATTTACTTTTTTTTTTTTTGCAATCACTAACAATCATAGTTTTTTTGTTTATCCATATACAGAAGTGAAGAGCAATCAAGGTCCATGTTAGTATGCAAAATGAGTTCATGTTACTGTTTACAGTTCTAGAACTAGTCATTGTCCAATCATAAAGCTATAATTTCATTCCTTCTCTCTCAGCATTTCCTGCTACAGGAGATCAGTTTCTCAGGCACTGTCCCAGAACAGTTGTCCCTAGATTCAAGTCCCACTCTAGTCTTTCTCAAGAGCCAGAAAGGAAGGTTATGACACTTGTTTAGAAGACAGTGCGTCCAGAGCTAGTTGTCTTTGTTTTTACACTTTGCTTTTTATCTTCATTTATTATTATTTGTAGTGTTTTTCCTGACTGGTTAGGCCAGAGAATAGCTTTACCAAAGGCAAGAATTGTTATTGTTGTTTTAGTATCTAGCTCATAGCATGTAGATAATTACTTGGATTTTGATCACTTAAATCTAATATTTTACTTCACTTCAAATCTAGTAGTTTGCTTTGCTTGCTTTATAATTCAAATTTCCTACCTAAAAAAGTTAACTGTCTCTTGAGGTATCTGAATTATTTAGAACTGTTTTCAGATAACTTACACATCTTTTTTAGGGCCCTATACTCCTGCTTCAGGAAAGAAAAAAAAAAAATCTGTTTGTCAGATGTAGGCAACACCAGTCGTTAAGTAAGCCATTAGTCACTCCATTTTTTAAAAAGTAACTTAATTCTCACATCCACATCCAGTTTTCTACTCTCTGCCCGTCTTCCTTTCTTTTTTCTTCCTCTCATTCTCCATGTTTCTGATATTTGCTCTCTTCCCACTGGACAATCGGCATTCACCCCTTGTGTTTCCGAGTCTTCCAGTGAGCTGTGCTGGTCTCCTGGAGACAGAGGGCAGTTTGGGGTAAAGGCAAGTCTGTTTGGGCAATTTAAATTCTTGTTATGTGAGAGATGGGAATAGAAAGAGCAAATGGCATTACAGAGATTTTTGTTGTTAAAAGGACACCTCTTCTCCATCCCATTTCATTTCATTTCCCCACAGGCATGATTGAAAAGGGTTGTGGGAGAATCCAGGAATGAACTAAATGTTTTTCTGAGCCCAAATCAACTATCATCTGAGATCGTGGTGCAGAGAAGAAAGGTACAATTCCTCTAAGGCTGTATCTTTCCTTCTTCTGGTTCATACTTTTGTTTTCTTGTTTTTTCTTCACTTACTTCCCCCTTAGTCTTCCATCCGGTGGAGTGTTCCTACTGCCACAGTGAGAGTATGATGGGATTTCGCTACCGATGCCAACAGTGTCACAATTACCAGCTCTGTCAGGACTGCTTCTGGAGGGGACATGCCGGTGGTTCTCATAGCAACCAGCACCAAATGAAAGAGTACACGTCATGGGTAAGGCAAGGTCCAGGCAATACTTGGAGTTGGATGTGTGAGTGTTGCCCAGAATTAAAGGGAATATCAAGGATGGTGGCAGAATTAAAGGGCAAACTTACCTTCTATCCCAGGTCTAGTATTCAGTCCCCCTTCCTCCCACCCTCCACCCCACTGGGTGCTCTTACTTATTCTGTTGGAACCCAGTGTAGCTTCCTGAGACTTAAAATATAGGAAGACTCAAAACTATGTTACTTCTTGGAATACAGATAATTCAGTACCGATTTAAATAACAACTGAACAGCAAGGACCTTCTGGAACATAGTCTTACATTCACAGTAAGTCAAAATCTTTTCCAAGTTTTGTTTTGTGGAAACGGCTTAAAAATTATTGTTAGTTTTATTTTTCTTAGATTCTGGAGTTCTTTTAAGTGCATGACTAGAATATTAAAGAAACAAGTATGAGAGGAGAGTGTGGACTTAATAATACTGTTCCATTTTACTTTTCTGCAGAGGGTGGGGAGGGGAGATTGTGGTTATATTAGCAAACCATCTTTTCATGAAGAGTCTGAGTGACCAACCTGGTGGTGGCATGTGAGTGTCTGTGTGATAGAGTATTCTCAGGAGCAAGTGGCACCAGGTCTGTGGGAGGAAATGTGACTCTGAGCTCATTGTTCAAGTGGATTATGATTTACGGACATTTATCTTAGTGAAACTCAAAGATCAGTTCCGGCAGCGTTGCCCTTGTGCATCTCTTCAAGGATGGGTTTTTGTAGGGTGTGTAGATTGGTTCTTGTGGGGTATACCATCAGCCCTTCCAGCAGCTCTTGGAAAAGTTCTGTCACAAGAAAATCCAACCTATTTATGAGTTTTTCTATATTTTAATGTATTTCAATTCAACCTGTAGTCTTTACTTAAAGAAGTCTTCAGAATATACCTCTTAAATCAAAATACTTTTCCTAGGAATTATTATTGGGAACTAATATTCAGTGTAAATATACTAGTACTTCATCACCAGTCAGATTCTGAATTCAAGTAACAGTTCTTCACCAAGGCAGAGTATACTGAGAACTTGCCAATTCCAGTGCAACTCCTGTTGTTTATGTCATGCTGAGGATAAATAGATACATTAACACGGATCATGAACTACAATTTAGTTTAGAAGATAGGAGCTAAAACTTTCTATTTTCTTATTGTTAGCATATTACCAGTTTTCAAACTTCAACCCCATATCCTAAAAGATTTGTTGTTTGAAAACTAATCAGATTTAGTTGTTTTACGTAAATGCTAAATCCACATAAGGAGCCTCTTTCTTAGGGGTTGTAGACTCTAAAATTATATTCCAGGGCACTATCTGTACAAAGAAGGATCAGACTTCTTGAGAAGACAGAAGGCCCTATGGTTTGTGGTGCAAAGAGCTGCTGTTGCTGCTATCTTAACTGTTCTAAGAATTACATCTCCTAACAAAAGCCAGAGGGATTTCTTGAGCAATGCTCTTATTACTTCGCTTTTAAAAAATGAGGATAATAGTCACTTCATTATATTACCAATTAAGGACTCTAGATGTAAAAGAAAGTGACAAAATTTGAAATGGTTCCTTATGGAAAGGAAAAATATGGTTAAAGTTTTATTATTATGTTGGTGCAAAAGCAATTGCGGTTTTTGCCATTACTTTCAAATGGCAAAAACCACAGTTGCTTTTGCACCAACCTAATATATGTGGTAGGCTGCTTTTTATATAATTTTGACTGCATAATGTCAAGATAAACATCCCAACAATGTAAACAAAAAAGAGGCTGCATGATTCTCTGGAAATAACCTGAATTTCAAATTCTGAAGACTCAGCTTGAAGATTCATTTTCACTTCTAACTGGATGTGTTCAGCCACACCTGAAACATCTTTCTTGCACCTGGATTCCTGCAAAACCTTCTGCTCATCTTCCCTCCATACCTATTTTCTCACAAACCATTTTCTGTTCTTAAGTGAGAGCAGTCCTTCTAGAATCAGGTCTGATGCTGTCATACCTGTGATTTAAACTCTTCAGGGTCTCCCTCTGTCCTGGGGATAAAGGGACAGTTCTTAACGAGCCATATAACGATTTTGATGATCTGCCTCCTGCTTTCCTCCCCAGAAGGGCTCCCTTCACTGTTGCTGCTTCCTCCATCTCGAATGACCTTCCTAGTCTGCTGAGTTTTTGTCAGAAGGACTCCTGCAGGCCCATTAGGTCCCAGCGAAGGTGCCCCATGCACAATGCCTGCTTCCATTTATTGTAGCATTTGCTGATACTGAGCAGCAGGAGGCAGCTTGTTCAGAAACTCTCTTCCTAGCATTGAGCAAACTTGCGGACTCAAAGTCAGCACTGAAAAGGATTTCTTCCATGAATGAATATCTATTATGAAAAGCAAATCATTTGATAAAATATTACATAAATATTAGCTGTTGTCACTTCTACCTTCCTTCTTCTTTCCAGAAATCACCTGCTAAGAAGCTGACTAATGCATTAAGCAAGTCCCTGAGCTGTGCTTCCAGCCGTGAACCTTTGCACCCCATGTTCCCAGATCAGCCTGAGAAGCCACTCAACTTGGCTCACATCGTGTGAGTATCTCTACCCTCCCAGTAAAGAGAAAATTTTCTTCTAGGGCACATGTCTGGAGCCACACAAAGGCAATTCCCTATCAGTGGTCAGCAACCAAGATTTTTCATTTAATTATTTAAAAAAGTTAGAGTAATGCCCTTACAGTTTTTTGTTGTTGTTGAGGTATACAGTACTTCCATCAGGCTGGACAAGTGAAATATGCAACACTAGCATAATTCGCCTGGAGGTGGAAAATATTTCAGAAAGCTTAGTTACAAAATATGGATGTTAGTGGTGCCTGCACATTGGAAGTTAACAATCAATGGGATCACTGTGGTAAAAAATGATTTACAGCATATTGTTCCTTAATTTCGTATGTGCCTTGAGTTCCAAATATAAAAGCTCTTTATTGCTCTGCAGACCCAGTTTAAGATGCCAGCAAATCTAGAAATTACTTTTGTTTTTCATCCCAAGCTATATAACTTTAGAAGAATCATAGCCTGTGCAGGGGAAGGGGGAGTGGTGGGAAAATTTATCAGAATATTCAAAGATTCTTTTCTTCAAAGTATGTGTGAGTTTCATGGCAGAAGGTGTTGGACCAGCAAACGGTCCTTCCAGCCATCCCTGCTACCTCCCAGAAGTTTCATGCCTTTGAACCTCTCTCAGGCCTGGGTGGCCAAGATAACAAGGGGGCTTAGGTAGAAGAAACAGTTTTTTTCCTTGGTGTTACCTTGGGCTCATAAGAAGAAAGAGTCTCATTACCTGCTTCTATGCACAATTAGATACCATGTAGTCACAGATGCCTCCTTATGAACTGCCTGTTGTTTTCCACAGTTCAGTGGAACCTGTCACACCACTGGGCCTGTGTTTGCATGTTGACATCAAGAGGTGGGCTGATGGGACCTACCAGTATAGAAATTCAACAATGCAAAGTTCATGCTTCAGGCAGTTCAGCATATAATCCAGAAGGGGCACTGTGGTGGGTATGAGACCTTCATGGAGGCAGCACCTACGTTCTCCGATGGACCTTAGCAAATACCACCAAACAATTTGTGCTGCGTCACATCTGTGAGCTTTGTATAAATACTTTGGGGCCTTGTTTTGCTTATTCCTGGGGGTGCTTTGAGACGTCTCTGACCTCAGCAGTATACACAGCCTGAACGCTCCTGTTTCTCAGCTTACAAGCTGGCATGGGCTCAGCCTCCAGAAGCTAATGCAAACTAATTCTGTAGAATGTGGTTAACTTATTTTTGGAAATTATGCTTCTATAAATAAACCTTAAGATAAGCCAGGGATAAATAAATCTGGGGAATGTCCCAAAGGGCCAACCACTTGCAGCAATCTACCTCACAGGAGCTTATGAAGGATCTTATTAAGGTCTAGACTTTCCTTCCCATAGCCAATTAGACACAATCACTAAGTTGCTAATAAATGACCACAACAAACTGAGAGCAGCTGGTGCTCCCTGAGCTATGCTGAGAGTAATTTCCTACCCTCCCCCCCCGCTAGGAGTTTCACCCCAAGAAAGCAGCCTTCAACGGAACTGCTGGGTGTCATGAAGATAGGGGGTGTGGGTGTGAATAGCCTGACTCTAAGAGCTTTGCTGCTTCACACTCCTCCAAAGAATTAGGAAGTGATGTACTGCAGTGTAAAAGTCTGTTTCACAGTGAGTCACTTTGGAGTATTATCTAGCTCAGGGCCTTGTATCCAGTGGGTGCTAGGATTGGGTGGTGTGTGTGTGTGTGTCTGTGTGTCTGTGTGTGTGTATGAGAGAGAGAGAGAGAGGTATTTAATTGGCTGAGTAATAATTTTTAAATTTTGACTTATGGGGCAATATAATCTGTTTTGTCATTTATTGACGTAACTGAGGGCTAAGCTACACAATACATTCTTAGTTTATGTTCCATGGAGAAATTTTAAAATTCTGTACAAAATGTGTCTTCTTTTGAGAAAACCTCTATCTATTTTACCAGATCCTCAAGAGTCCTTGAATCAGAATACTGATCTGTACTCACTGATAACATATTTTCCCAGGGTGAAAGTTTTAATTTTAAAATTCAAATTGTACAGGATATTTAATTGTTGAAATAACATACAAGACATTCTGGATGTAGAATGTCAAGTCTATTTTAGAACAGAATATTTTTGTTCTATTTTTAGCCATAGAAATTTTTTCCATATTTGTTTCTTTATTCAAATGCTATTGTCATTAGTAGATATCCACGTCTTTTTTCTGAGACTTCTAATTTTAAAATGCATTGCTCATTTAACTATTCTAAATTATCATAGGCACATCAAGGACATTTAAATAAAAAAATAAATGGTATTAAGCCTTAATCATTTATAAAAAAGAATGCTCTCTTAATCTGCTATAATGAACATGGACATGGAATTAATGAATATTCACACTTCTTCCAAATGTATATAAATAATATTTTGATAAATTAGACCAAAATATATGACATTCCATACCATGTCATTTATAATAAGCCATCCCACTACTTTTATACAGTGCTGTACAGTGAAAATAAGTGAAATTTAAGAAATAAAACACACCAATACTCCCACCTCCACTTAATGCCCTTAATTACTCCCAAATATGACTTAAATTATAAAGATCTTATGCAGAAGGAATATTGTCATAGTGCAGAAATATGTGAAGTCAGCTTTATCATTGAGTCTCTAGCAAAAATCACCCTAAAAGTATGTTCCTTAGAACTATACATAGCAATAAAAATATATTTTCTAGCTGTAGCTCTGTCTTGGTCATCCTCATTCCCTCTCCAACCTTTCCCTGTGCTTTCCTAAATAATTTATTAAGCAACCTTTAATTGTAGTACAAACCACACCTTTGTCATTCTTTGGGTGTAGTGTCACAAAAATATCCCAGTCCGTATCAGTTGCACCCATGGATAAGCTTACAGACAGAGGTAAGAAGGGAGCAGTGAGTGGGGTGCAAGCATTGGCAATATTGATGGGCATACTCTGTCCTGTGTTGATGACCTGAGGTTCTGGGCATTGGGAATTATAGCACAGACTCAAAATAAAACATTTTTTTTTGCCACTGTGAAAAAGTGTGTTGATTTTGTAAATTAATACAAATTCTTCAAAGACATATTCAGAAAAAAAGTCCATGATGTAAATGTTTAAGTGAAGGATAATGGTATGTCCTTACATAGTGCTGAAATATGTAGAACATTATAGAGCTCATGGACATAAAATTTGATGTTGAACATTATACAGTCTTCTTAAATGCACATCTTGCTGTTTAATTATTGTGTTAAAAAATGCTGGCCGGGCACAGTGACTCACGCCTGTAATCCCAGTACTTGGGGAGGCAGAGGCAGGCCGATCAAGAGGTCAGGAGATCAAGACCATCCTGGTTAACACGATGAAACCCCGTCTCTATTAAAAATACAAAAAATTAGCTGAGCGCGGTGGCAGGCAGCTGTAGTCCCAGCTACTAGGGATGCTGAGGCAAGAGAATGACGTGAACCCAGGAGACGGAGTTTGCAGTGAGCCAAGATCACGCCACTGTATTCCAGCCTGGGCAACAGAACAAGACTCCGACTGAAAAAAAAAAAAAGATTGCTACTACATGGCGCATGTATACCTGTGTAACAAACCTGCAGGTTCTGCACATGTACCCCAGAACTTAAAGTAAAATAAAAAAATAAATTGCTACTAGTCCTCTAATACATACTGCATCCAAAGTTGAGCAGCAAAAGCATTATAAGATATAAATGAAATTGAGAAAATAATAAATGGAAAATGCTTTATCAATACCTAATGAAAACATTAGAAAATATTTTTATTACTCATTTAAAACTCAAGTTCCAATTTTTTCTTTTTTTCTTTTTCTTTTTTTATTTTTTGTAGAAATAGGGTCTCTCTATATTACCCAGGCTGGTCTGGAACTCCTAGGCTGAGATTATAAGTGTGAGCCACCACACCTAGCCACAACTTAAATGTGAAAAAAGTGGCAAAAATATGGCACAGTCTGACTATGTAACAGATTAACATTTTACAGGTAGACTTAGATATGGTAAAAAATAAATTTTAAAAAGAGAGATTGAATCAATAGGATTTTAAAACAGGTTATAGTACTAATATCTCTGTCACACACAAACACACACGTATATTTGCATATGGAAATGAAGCATGTGACACACAGAAAATGCCATTTTTTTTTTACTATAGCCAAGGGATTTTCTACCCATCTTGTAGAGAGGTGCTGCTAGTCATGAATTAGTGCTTAAATAGAAATGAGCAGGTGGTGACGTTTTGGTACTTTGACATTTGTTCTTAGCTATTGTATTGCTTGTAAATGTTACCATGATTAACGGTCTGTATTCTGTTCAATTTTTCGCTGCCAAAAGTGATACTTGGTAAGTAGTGCAGTAGTTTCCAGTCTACTTATGAAGATGTATAATCATGATCATAAGTGGGGATGAGACACAAAACAAGTGAGCAATATGAGGCTAGTTTAGAAATAAGTCTTCTTGTGCTGTACACTCAGTTTACAAGGATGACACTTACATAAAATTGTCCTCTGTGAAGATCTTGTCCAGAAGGCCCCTGTGACTTACTCTATTTTGTGGAGCTGTTTCTTTTACATAAAACCAAATATGTTCAGAATTCCCAGTGTGGGCCATTTGTTAGATAAGGTAACTTGCCATTTGATTGTGGAAGAAATAGGAATTTCAGTTCCTCTGAAAACCACCATTTGGTGCCAGGGCTAGCCATTCTTTGTCCCAAGTTCAACATTTCAATGGTAGACCTTAAACAAAGCCATTTGCTGAGAAACCTTGATTTCAGCTTTGTAGTGACTGGATTCAATAGAATACATTTATCAAGCTAGTTAAAAAGCATTCTAAATCCACTTGTTTTCTCATTTTTAGACATGGAGGAAGATGGAAAAGTTAAAAAAAAAAAAAAGACAAAATCAGAAGTGTCAGGTCAAGTATTTTTTTCAACTCTTTGCAAAGCTACGATGAAGATGTTATACTCTGTTCACTGTTTTAAAATCTAGCAGATCAAACTTTTCATAATTCAGAGGACATTTGTATAAAATTAGCATCCTTCTTCTAAATTGCTAGTGTTCAACTCAAAGCAGAGTTAGTTTTAAACTAGCCTTGTGTTGCTCCCTTATATATCAAAGATGCATCTTAGATAAGTAATGCAAAACACTAAGATTGTTTTCAGAACTTCAGTTTTGTCTAGAGTAGATGAAATAGTGAATCTGTTGTTTTGGCTTCGTCCAACAGATGATATGTCTTACAAAATCTCAGAGTATAGGTTAGCACCAGCTACCATGAAAAAAGTTTCGGTGAATTTATGTTATTTTTTATTTTTCCCTAAGTTATTGGGGTACAGGTGGTATTTGGTTACATGAGTAAGTTCTTTAGTGGTGATTTGTGAGACTTTGGTGCACCCATCACCCGAGCAGTATACACTGCACCATATTTGTAATCTTTTATCCCTAACCCCAGAGACTGTTATTCTAAGTCTCAATGAATTTTTGCATGTAGTGCTGACATTTTAAAACCTGCAGAGCTTCATGTCCATTCCAGTCAATACATTGGGATATACAAGTCTATCTTTTTCCCAGAATGTCTTCGTTGTAGAAGCCAAAGCTGTTCTCTAAAGTAAAAATTAAACCATTTACAAATTTGGCTCTTAATCAAGCCAACATAAATTGATTATTTAGGCTGCTATAATTAATGTCACATCTTCAAAATGTTCTATACCATCAAACTCAAATACAGAATTATAGTGAAACTGAAATTTCCTGTGATTCAGAAAATGCCCCACCTCATTTTCCATCTTTTGAACTCTAAATCCCATCTCATATTACCATTCATTATCCTATATTGAACCTAAAAAAGACTAAAAATGCCTTGGAGATGAGATAGGGATCTTAGTCCTATCATTTTACCTGACCTAAAACATTCATGATAGGAAAAGAATGACAGAATGAAATGAAAATCAGACCAAGGAAGATGGACTCCATGCAGTTGGTGTTTAGAACCATGAACAATTCTGAGGAAAATTGAACTCTGTTTTCCTTCTCTTATCATAAGAAAACAAGTGAAGCTTATGGGATGCCGTACACCATATACTCTATCATATGGATCACCCAAACAACAGAAACTAACTTCATAAATCCTTGTGGAGCTTACTTGCCTCTTCACTTAGAGCAAAGGCAAATAAGGTATGATATGATTGTACAGCCTGTGTCCTTTCAGACCAGGCATGTTGGAGAGGCCCGTCATCATGGAGAACACAGAAGGAACCTTCCAAAGCCTCAGGAAACTTCCTCTTTCCAAGAGAACGTAGATTCAATGATCAGGTCTTCAAGGCTTCTTGAGAAGGCAGTAGAAGTAAAACCACTGCCTTCTTCAAAATCCTTGTTTCATTCCAGAATATTATACAATGAAACATCAAGGCTCAAAGCTCACATCAACATTCACATCCTTGCTTCATTCCAGAATATTGTACAATTAAACATCAAGGCTCAAAGTTCATGCATCAACATTCACATGGTGTCTGGAGATCTGCCTCCCAGTGTTTACCTGAGATTATATATTCTCAAGGAAATGTTACTTTAAAACACTTAAGGAATTTAATTGGAAAATGTAAGATTTCTTGTTGATCCTGGGAAAGATAGAACTCAGATCTTCCCATCCCCTTTCCTGGAAGGATGAGGGAGAGTTTTAAATGTGTGACTTTTATTTGTTTTAACTTTCTATTCACACTGTCTTTTGTTTTAGGCCTCCCAGACCTGTAACCAGCATGAATGACACCCTGTTCTCCCACTCTGTTCCCTCCTCAGGAAGTCCTTTTATTACCAGAAGGTAAGTTCCAACCCTATTATAAAATAAGCCCTTTCTTTGGTAATGAGCCTTGATTTTGTGGTAACAAAAATATTCTCATGCAAGCCAAGGGCAGAATATTGTTACTGGAAACTAGCTTGCAAATATCCATTATAAGTTTTCAATTTCATTCATTTGCATGCATTTAAAGAGGGGTATGGTGGCTTTGGGGATTAATGTCATGTCTGGAAACCTGCATTTATAATGTATCCACAGTAAGAATGTGGGGTATGTTTCAGTTTTACTGCTGACACACATGCTTCCCATCTTATTAAGGAAGTCACTTTCATAGTCCTCAGAGTGGTCTGTTGAAGTCAAGAAACTGGAATTTCAAGATGCAATGGTGTGTTATTATATAAATGGTGAAGCGTGTCATTATTTAAAGCTAAGATACAAAAGAATCCTTTGTTGGTGAACCCTGGAGTTCCTGAGGCTAGAGGCTAAAGACCAAACTTGGAAATGTAGTTTCCATATAAGCAATGTCATCGATAATAACTTTTTTAAAAGGTGGATCTGCATCTCATTTCTTTGCACAAGATCCATTCCCATGTGAGCAAGAAACAGGAGAAGCAAATATTTCTCTAAGAGTTAGCATCAGACATATGCAGGGTCAAGAGGTGCTCTGAGTCATTTGATCAAATAATTGCGAATCAAGCACCAGATAATTATTTTATAAATACATGAACGAAGGCTCACGAGAAAGCAAAAACAAAGGTAAGGAAAATTGGAGTGAGTAATTGAACATAAGATTTCAAATGCCTTTCAGCAGAAAAAAAGGACAGCCTCATATTTCACAAAATGCACATAATTCATCTTTTCCCTGAAGAGGTTTATAAGGTGCCAGTTTCACTCTAATATCCTGGTACATTCAACTGAGGATTTGAAGACAATGCGACTAAGAACACAGCTGATTTTTTCTTCTGAGTTCCTGTATGTGCCCATCAACAGGAACCTGAGATGAAGATGTTCCCCATAATTGTAATTAGCAGAATAAACAGAATATGGTGTTTCTGATGTATAAATAAGTTCTGTAACAAGTGGAAACGAGGAGACAGTTTTCTACAGCAGAACATCCACAGTAGAATAATATGGTTTAGGCCCTCAGTAACTTCCTTTTAGCACTCTTTTTTAGAATCACCAGCAAATTCAACCTTTTATTTTTTTTTCTGGAATGAAATCATAAACTGTAAAGTCTGTAAAAAGACACAGGTGTGCATCTGTGTAGGGAAGACCTGACATGATGTTTAGAAATATGTATTTTTATTAGGAAGCTCTGCATTCTGCAAATGTCAAGCAGAGGTAGACCCTATCCTTACTGAAGGTCATTTTATATCATTTCAGCTCGGACGGTGCTTTTGGTGGATGCGTCTAGATGGATAACATGACTTCTTCTACCCTAAAATATTCCTATAATACTTTGAGCTGTTCTGGTTCCTCCAGGGTGCGTGGTACCCATTAACCCAGAATATGATTATTTCCCTTTTTTCCCATTTTCAGTCCTTTTGGAATGTTCTCTGTGAACCACAGATATGTTGTTTAAAGCTCACATTTCTTTCTATCACCACAGAGATTGGCCTACGGTTTCTGTTTTGAGGGTGCTATTCAATAAAGCTGTGTACACTCAATGTCTTTCCTCTCTGAGTGGGCCTTGCTCTGTCCCTGGGAAGTTTTAATGAGGTCTCATTGTTTGAATCCCTCAGGTTACCTGAGGGGATAAGTGCATCCAGCCCTGTGGCTGAAGAGCATTCCCTCATAAAGCAGTACGTAAATCAGCTTGATCACGGTGCACGGTCAGTATCCCAGCCCTGAATTGCTAATCATAGTAGTAGTTCCATAGCTAGACTCATAGTCATTCTACTCTAGCACTAAAATCCTCTCGTAGTATGTCTTATTGGAGATAGAGGTCTTCTGGGGTTTAATGAAATTGTGTTGAGACTTTTCAACTTGAGCTGGACTTTGCAGCTCTTTCCTCTCCTTTCCACATATTTTATGGATTTCATAGCTTCATACCAGTATATAAGAGATGTGTATATGTGAAGTGTATCAAGCTGGATCTTGTTTGGACAAGTCTCTGCTTTTGTACAATTTGCAAAAACCCCAGATGGTAATTTCTAAGACTCTTGAATTAAGGAGTCTATTGGAAAGATCATTAACTAGGTGAGGCTAGGACAATGTCATATAGCTGGACCTCATTGCAGTTAAAGACTTGAGGACTTGTACCTTTCTGTACCATTGGACCTGATCCATTTTCCCCCTAGGGAGGACAGTCTGATTCCTAATGAAGTAACAATTTCAAAAACAGTTGCTTGCTCTCAGTGCTTATTCTCTATCACTTGATAATGCTGGTGGTAAATCACTTTTGATTTCTTCATCATGTTGATAAACTCAGATGGATAGAAATCCATCATGCCAGATGTAGGCAAAAGTTAAAAGTCCTGTACTTCTATCATTGAAACAGAACCAAAGAAATATGACCTACGGCTCTGCCCTCACCCTAGCCCATCCCAACAATGAAATAAAACCTAAGCAAGCCAAATATAGTGCCGGTCAGTATAGGGCAGCACCAAGAAAGTAGGTAAGTTCTCCATATTTTCTTTAGCCTAAGTTCAGTCTTTTGTATCATGACAGATCCTAGAAAGATAAAGCCGAATGAGGATGAACTGAAATCCCCACTCCAGAATCCTCCCCAAAAACTCCAGGCATTACTCACCTAAGGCTCTTTACAAGCCTACCACTTTGATCTTCAAAAGACACAGGGATAAAACTTTGAAATCTTTCGACATCCTAGTAATCTACTTCATACAGATGTATGAGTGTGTACCTCTGGTTACCAGCATCATCTGTCTCATTCCCTGTTCTTACATCTTTTTTAGCTATGTACTTGATTCACTTTTCCTTTACTTAAAAGAAAAAAAAAAAGGGATTCTCAAAGGCACTCTCCCTTGGTCCTTTGAAGTCTTCTTACATGTGTGTATGTCTGTGTGTGTGTGCACATGTGTACATTCAGTGCTGGTTAGAAGTTAGGTAGAATGTGGGTCATATAACATAATCAATGGACCGATTCACTTCATTCATTTTCTTGATTGTAAACTGTATGCCTAAATCTATTATGTTTTCTTATAAATTTATAGGAAAGAATGGCTGATTTGAGGGAAATCTATTATCACCACTAGGGAAAGAGCTCTAAGAGCTATGTATGGTGAGCCAGCAACATTATCTAAGCTTATGAAAGATAGATTATTATTATTGCAGATATTATTGCAAGGACTGACCACAAAGCCAGGCCCCAAAGGCTCTTTCTCCCCTTCACTGCCCACAGCTCTGTGCCTCTTAGGATCTGCTATCTTTTTTGGCATCATGCCTCCTTTTTAAAATCTTAATTATCTTGCCATAATCCTTACTTAGTTTAGATGAGAAAGTTAACCAATACTTTTTAACGTCAAGTAAGCTTCTTTCACTATGACCAAACTTCTTCATTAGTCACAGTAAAGACTAATAAAAAAAATTAGTCACACCCCTTTTACCTCCAATTTTAGAAACATCATTTAAAGTCTTCACAGGTATTTTCATAGTTGCAGCCTCTAAAGTGGTAAAGCACTCACAAAAGGAATCACGTTGACTACACTATATAACATCTAGCCAGGTCTTATCACTCCACCAAATATTAGGAAATTGCTTATAATTCATATTGCATGTTGAACACAATCTAATATGCTAGTTTTTGGTTTACTGCAATAACAAGTAGTTAATTAATCATACTGTATTCGATGTCCGGGCATGGTTATTCACGCCTGTAATCCCAGCAATTTGGGAGGCTGAGGCGAGTGGATCACGTGAGGTCAGGAGTTCAAGACTAGCCGGGCCAAAGTGGTGAAACTCCATCTCTACTAAAAATACAAAACTTGGCCAGGCACGGTGGCGGGCATCTGTAATCCCAGCTACTCGGGAAGCTGAGGCAGGAGAATAGCTTGAACCTAGGAGGCAGAGGTTGTGGTGAGCCAAGATCGTGCCATTGCACTCCAACCTGGGCAACAAAAGTGAAACTCCATCTCAAAAATAAATAAAATAAAATAAATTTTAAAATGATACTGTATTAGGCTCTGTAGTTCCTATGAGGAGAGTGCACCCACCCCAGATACTTCCCAAATCCTGATCCCTCCAAGAGGAGCAGCAGTTGTGAGTTATTTTTTGAGTTGACTTGTTGATCAGTTGATTGATAGGTTTGGGTTTTCAACCCAAGAAATGCTAATTCAATGTGCCTTTTTCATTTTTAAAAAATGTTTTTGCTTACCCAGAGATTCTTTACTTCACAACCCTGGCTTTTAATCTGACTCAAAAAGTTCGAGCTACATTTTAAATAGTTGTGATTTGGTCATCAAAAGTGGCTAAAAATAAATTTGAGACACTGAATGTAGCCTTTCCTTTTGAAAATCAAAGTTTTCTTCATATCTATTTTTTTCTAAGATTAATGCCCATCCATTTTCAGTCATAAAACAGATAAATTTTTAAATCAACATCTGGCACCACCCTGAAGATTTCTCACTCTTTTCAAACTTTCTGGGCATGTTGTATGAAATTTTATGAATTTGAAATAATCACTGTCTGCAGATAATTCTTTACTTCATGTAGCCCCAGAGCTCCACTAATATGTTAGATTTTTCCAAACCGGAATTACACCAGTCTACACATCAACCCTAACAATTTTCTATACTAAAATGTTAGTGCATGATTAAAACCACAGTCACCTATCTTATTCAGTTCAGTAACTTTTATTCTCCTACTAGAGTTGCTTTGGCTATTGTCTCTGCATGCCCTGTACCAACAAGCAAACTTTCCTAGAGGCTCTCTTGACTAAAGTGTAATTGGTGTGACTTGATAATACCTGGATACAATGTAGTAAATTAAATATGACCTAATAATTCTCATTTTTTCCATGGTACCTGTTTGAGATGGTTCAGCTTCTATGCCAGCCTGAATTGATGACAGCTAATTTTCCCACTGAGACACTAACCTATTTTTTAATACTGGTCTATGAATTTTCAGGTAATAGATATTTTATATTTCAGATGTAAGCTATTGAAATCTAGAAAAAAAGAAACAGAATGTTTCAAAACATTATTTCTTGACCAAACAGATTTGTGGTTTCTTTTTTATTGTATTTAAATTAGTGTGATGGCCTTACTACTAAACTATGTAATTCTAGTGAGAAGGAAAATTTTATACACTATAGATAGTTACTTAAGGAGACAGCCAACTTTGTGATTCTTCACAAATCCAAATGTCACACAAGCTTATTAATAATTTAAGAATAGAAATGAAAATATCTGTTCTTAATTTGCTATATTTCAAATATTGTTTTTCTTTTAACCATTGTGATAATTATTCTATATTAATATAATTTGTTTCTATAATATTTGTTCTCTGTGAGACTGCAGCCAGGCCTTTAGTATCATGTTCAATAAAAGAAAAAATAATCTTTGTCAAGGGCTAATATAGTAACTCAACATTAGCAGAAGTGGTTTTTAAAAATATATTTCATGTATCCAGGAAGCATCTGTGTGTGATTTTGTTACCTTTGGACCAACCCCCAAATATTTTCACTGAAGTAAAACTATTGGCATCAGTCATCACCCTTCAAAGCTAAGGGGATAATTTTTTTAATAAGTATGAAACATTTTGAGATTGTTCTACTTTTCCAGAACCCATTGTGTCATTGTGTGTGTGTGTATGTGTGTGTGTGTGTGAAAAATTTTGGAAGAAGGTTTTTTATGTTCATCTTTAGATATGCTACTTTCCAAAGGTCTAAAAAGGAAATGATGAGAAGCTAGAGGATTTTTGTTAGGAAAAAGAGTCTAAAGGAATATTTCCTACCTTTTTTCTTTCAGCAGATACATGAACTTCAAAATTTACCATGCCATGCCCTCCAAGGTATGGCTGTTCCCACAACCATCGGTGATAATATGTGTGTGAAAGGATATGCTCATACAGTGGCAAGGGATTAGTGAAAAGATGATAAGAAGAAGAGATTTGTGTGCATATAATTTTAGAAATGATAGTCTTGCTTCTCTTTGAAACTCAGATTAGAAAAGGTGTATCCCATGGTCAAGTTGAACCCCAAATAGTTCCCAGTTTCAGACCTTAAAAGGAGGAATACATTCTGATTTGAAGACAAGGCATGTAGAACAGAAGAAGCTTTTGAAGCTCAGGCTGGGTTGTATGAAAGCCATTGTCACATTCTGACACAATGATATGCTGGAAGCACTCTTTCCTTAGTCAGGAAGTAGGTTCCATTGTGCCTGATCCTAAATCCCACAAAGAATTAGAAACTTAACTTCTCCATGCAAACGCCAAGCTACAAAATGAAAGTTTAGAATCGAAATTAGTCTATAAAATACTGTGATAATATAGAGCCTTGAGGGATCATTGTAAGCCCCACATCGTTACTGTTTTAGTCCTTTGTGTTGCTATAAAGGAGTGCCTGAGGCTGGGTAATCCTCGAAGAAAAAAGGTTTAGGCGGGGCACAGTGGCTCATGCCTGTAATCCCAGCACTTTGGGAGGCCACAGCAGGTGGATCACCTGAGGTCAGGAGTTTGAGACCAGCCTGGCCAACATGGTGAAACCCCATCTCTATTAAAAATACAAAAAAAAAAAAAAAAAAGCTGGGTGTGGTGGCGGGTTCCTGTAATCCCAGCTACTCGGGAGGCTGAGGCAGAAGAATTGTTTGAACCCAGGAGGTGGAGGTTGCAGTGAGCCGAGATTGCGCCATTGCACTCCAGCCTGGGCAACAAGAGCAAAACTCTGTCTCAAAAAAAAAAAAGAAAAAGAAAAAGAAAAGAAAAGAGGTTTATTTGGGTCATGGTTCTGCAGACTGTACATGAAGTGTGGCATCAGCATCTGCTTCTGGTGAGACTTCAGGCTGCTTCCACTTACAGCAGAAGGCAAAGGGAAGCTGGTTTGTGCCAAGACACAGGAGAAGAGAGGAAGCAAGCCACAGAGAAGAGGTGCCAGGCTACTTGTAACAACCAGCCCTCAAGGGAACTAATAGAGTGAGACCTCACTCATTGCTGTGAGAATGGCACCAAGCCATTCATGAGGGATCTGCCCCCATAACCCAAACACCTCCCATTAGGCCCTATTTCCAACATTGAGGATCAAATTTCAACATGAAGTTTGGAGGGGTCAAATATTCAAACCATAGCAATCTCTGTTTTCACAGCAACTCAAGAGAAAAAATTTCACTTTGCTGGAAGAGGTTCTGGTGGAAAGTACTTCAAGTGAAAAGACTTTAAAGACCCAAGTTTTAAGTGAAACCTGTCTCCCAGTCAACTCTCAAGGTTCTTGATTCATTTCATTTTGAAAGAGTGGCCATTTTTGTCTTGTTTTCATCATGCATTTGGCTTCCGCTATACGTGGTCATATTTTTCGCTTCCTAGAAACAGATGATGAGAAGAATTTGAAGCTAACTCTAGAAATTACAGAAACTATGTGAACAGTGAGTATCAAAAAGTTAGAAGTTCTTCTGGCACTAGAAATTAAGAGCTATAGCAAAACAAAATAGTTTATTTCCAGAAACTCATAAATGTTCATGGTGTAACTCCCCTATTTTCCAAGAATTGTTTTTTCTAAGAATCCGCATGGGAAAGGAAAGGAAGATAAAAGGTTTTAAACTATTTCTTTAAACCAACACTGGCAAGGGCCAACACAAAGAAAATGACAGCAAAAGTTAAGAGATGTATATACATAGAATATGTCTCATTCCTTTGAGGGAGGAAGGGACCTGGTTAGAAGAAGGAAGAAAAGGAAGAGGAGAGGGGAGACAGGCAAGTGGAGTAGGGGAAGGAGGAGAGGAGCCCAAAGATTTGAAGAAAAAAAAAAGAAGAAGGCCACCAAAGGAAAGTCCGGCGTATTGCCCGCTTCTCTCAGCCCTACCCCTACACAATACTGAGGCTAGGGCTCCTTCATGCTTGGGCTTTGTCAGTGGTGGGTGGTGGAACCACATTTCTAGGCCTTCACTGACACATCTTCTTCCTCCCATAAAACTTCACCAGAATAATTTGTGGCAAACACATCTTCGTGGTTGACCTTCCTGTGTTTCTTTTCTCTACTGATTCTTACTTGTTATCTTGCACATTCAGTGTGAGAGGTTGTCCCTGTGCAATTATTCGGCTATTTGCTTAAGAAATTATTGCCACAATTTCTGAGATTCAAGGAATAAAGAAGCATAAGAAGGCAGGGAGATAGTTTAGTTTGGAAGGAAGACTTATGGATGTTTCACACAGTGTTTTGAATGGTTTTGCAAGCATCTGAAATAAATTATGTAATAGATTCATCTATCTTTAGTTACAAAAAATAATTGGGGGGATATTGGGCAGCAGGGGTACTATAGGTACTGCATAATGAATGTATGGAGATCTGCTTCAGTAGACATAGTTTGGAATGCAGTTTTGGTGGGGTAATAGTATATCACAGAAAACAGAAAGTGTTTTGGTGGGATAATGGTACATCACAGAAAATGATGGCTGAAGGTGGTTATTTGGCCCTGATGGGCAGGTTTTGCAGTTTTAAAAGGAAAACATCAATATGCTGGATAAAGATAACTATTAAGGTCATCAGGAAAGTAAATTCTCCTAAAACACAATCTAATTTATTTTTAAAGCCAATTTTGGGTCAGGCATGGTGGCTCACGCCTGTAATCCCAGCACTTTGGGAGGCCAAGGGGGGAAGATCACTTGAGGTTGGGAGTTCGAGACCAGCCTGGCCAACATGGTGAAATCCCATCTGTACTAAAAATACAAAAATTAGCCAGGCATGGTGGTGTGTTCCTGTAATCCCAAGTACTCAGGAGGATGAGGCAGGAGAATCATTTGAACCCGGAAGGTAGAGGTTGCAGTGAGCCGAGATCGTGCCACTGCACTCCAGCCTGTGTGACAGAGTGAGACTCCATCTCAAAAAAGAAAGTCAATTTTGTTTGGATACAGTTGAACTTTTTAAGTACAGCAATAATTTGTATAACAGATGCCTTTCTGAAGAGCTGAGTGAAAATGTCATTCATCTGCCAAACATGCATGTCTACTCTTTGCTAGTCATTTTCTTTACAAATCAAATTTAATATTAAATTTATCAGAGATCTCACTATTCAAGGAATCTTTTAATATACACTATTATAAAGCAAGAATTCCAACTATAATGTACATAGTTCTAATGTGATATATATTTATATTTTTTAGTACTTTGTGGCCTGAAAGAATAGTGCTTTATAATAGAGACTTAAAACTTGTAGTATAAAGTTTTTAAGATTTTAACTAATTTATAAACCATTATATATTTAGTAGATTTAGAGTTTCTTGAAAATTTTTGACAGAACCTCATAATTTATATCCAAGTAGTTAAATATTTGGTATTCAAAGAAAGACAGACAATTCATTTTTCTATTTTCCATGAAGAAGGAGTAGGATAATTTTAGGTTTACCAGTGTGCAGGGCAAATTCTTACTTAACCTATAGAGGAGCAAACTTTCTTTAAACACATTACCAAGCAATACAACTGTAATACTAAGAATTAATACCATATTTCTCAATGTAGTATGACTACAAATTGTCACAGTAGATTTTGGATGACTTTACTGTAGCCACACTTAATGATTTATTATTTATATTTCTATTTGTACTTTGATAAAACTGTATTTTAAACTTTAAAATTGCCATTTAAATTACTAAAAAAAATGAGTAGTTCCCATAATGAATCTATAATGTTAAGAATTTGCTTTAGCAATGAGACTATATTCACTAGCTTTGTATTAATATAAACATAAGAAATAACAACATATATGTATAAGACTCAAAGGTATATTTCTCTGTTTCTCTGAAAATTTTCTTTGTAGCTCCACAGCCAAGATCATGTGGCTTTTGCTTGGAGTAGTAAAACACTTCCAATATGAAGCAATCTCTAGCTAGGTAATTTTCAAGTCTTTCTATTCAGCACAGAAAGTTGGAGGATGTAGGGAAGGCTAAAGTTCTTGAGTGGGATCTAAAGGCTGGCAGGACTTAGTGAACTGCTGGACTGTTTACATGCTAAGCCATGATAAATGTTGAATGAATTTTCATTATGTCTAGACATACCCAGTATAAATGCTTTCTTGTTAAGCAAATAGCAGAGGTCAAATCTGGGATCATGGTGATTGCGGTTGTGTTCTCAGGCTGGGTTTCTACTCCTACTTGAACTCTGTGGATATCTGAAAACATCTTGAACATTTCAAAATAATAAGAGATCTGTCCAAATGGAACTTGGATCTAGACTTGGGAGTGTCTGTTGCCAGTTTCTATTCTTGAATGCATTGCGGTGTTTACGCTCTTCTTGGCTTTCCCATCTTATTAACTAGCTCTCCTCCCAAGGACAGTGAAGTAGAGCAGAACAAACTGCTGGCTAGGGCTGCTCCAGCTTTTCTGAAGGGCAAAGGGTAAGTTTCAGCCAGAGTGTACTGGAACCCTGCATTAACTAAACTAAAAATGGAGATTTCTTTTGTCAAAAATGCTTTGTGTGTGAAAGACCATCTTTGATTCAGTAAAAGCAGCTCTGCTCTAACCCAATTAACAGCACTAAGTAGTTATTTCCAGTAGACACATCTGTGTTGTTATTCACTTTCCCAGATTTGTGTCTTTTTCTTTTTTGAAATGACTAAGCTGAAGATTCGATTTTCTGAAGGATATTTAATCTTTGCTTGCAACCCATTTCAATGTATTTACTGTACAGATGAATACCTTGGCCTCAGTGGTTGAAAAATGTAAATCTGTTTTCTAAAACTTTATTTGACCTAAATGGAAGTCTTTATTTTTAAAGTTAGTGAAATAGAATTGTGGGTTTTATTGCCTGGATTTCGCTTGTGTTTTTCATAGCACATCACTTACTACCCTTCCTTTACTTGCTTGGTTTTCTAAATGTCTTTTCTACCAAAAACTCACTCCTACCTTCTCTGCTTATTTCTGTCCACCTCTCTTAACAACACCCTTTCTTTCCCCCTGCCCTGTTTCAGGATACAGTACAGCCTGAATGTGGCAGACAGGCTAGCTGATGAACATGTTCTCATCGGGTTGTATGTCAACATGCTCCGGAACAACCCCTCATGGTTAGTGCAGGTTTGGCTGCTTGACTGTCCTTAGAGAGGGATGCAGTCTGAGCTGGTGACAAGCAGTCTCAGCAAGGAGCAAGGTCACTGGATGCCAGTGGTGACCCTGAGCACTGTTAACTGATTCAATTAAGAAGTCTTTTGTGATGTTAGTTTGTATACTTCCCATGAAGAAACCATAAGATTCATATCCTTGTTTATCTATTAGCTAAAGCGAAAACTTGCATAAAGGGATGCCTTGCTAAATGTTAGCCTTCAGGTAGATTCAGGACTCCGGGCCCCACCATTCAGTTCTGTGCTACATATCATGCCAAATTACCACAGGATGGTGATACAAGAATTTGTCTTATTCCAAGGACATGGATGTCTCTGCTGATTTGGAAAACAATGCTTCATTTTACTCAAGATAAAAGTGAAAAAGAAAAAATGTGATGTAATTGAATCACAAAATGGAAATCATTTCTTTAACAATGATAACAGTGGGAACAATTGTCTTTCAGCAATTCTATTATACATGTCTCTGATGATCATCCTGCTAAAGCCTGCTTTTACATCTTGGAATACACAAAACTTAGTTTCAGAAATGTTAAATTCAGAAAATAAGATAGCCCTGTGTGCTTGGATAAAGCCATTCAAAAGGCTTTTCTCCATTTTAATTGTGACATAGGAGACTCCTTCCACTGGTTAAAGTTACTTGATGTTAATAATAAATGTAGATTTGCAACTTGAATTAAAGGAAAAGGACAAACTATGTATTTATCATGTGTATGTTTCAATCCAGTTCAGACGACTGTTTTATAAACATATTTAGCAAACCAGTTCCTTGAAAATATGTCAATTTTTCTCAACCACTTCAATTTTCTCTGAACTAAGGACCCATGGATTTTCCATAGTTATAATTATTAAGAGAGCCAATGGGTTCAATTTCCATTAAAATGTTTCAAACCTTTAGCATCGCAAGTCCTCTTTCCTCTACTATTAGAGGAAAAGTAATTGGCAAAATTAATGACAATTACATTAAAAGTAATGGCAAAAACTGCAATTACTTTTGCACCAAGCTAGTATTTCACCAACGCATCCCTCAGATGCTAGGCCATTGCTCTGTGCTCCTTGCCCTCACCATTTGATGTTATTAGCCACTTCGTTTCTGGACCTCTCTCCTCCTCACTTGAATATTTTCAAAATTTTCTTCCTATTACTGCTTCTTAGACCTATTTTTGCAAGATTAGTACATGAGATAATTTTTAGTTCTCATGAACTGATGAACATTTATGTGCTTTAGTACATACATGTATCTAAATTTGTTTTTAATAATGTATAACCCGTATACTAGTTTAATTTTACCTTAGATCCTGCTGTTTAAGGTGATAAAAATGCACTCTTCGGCTGACCTAAATCCATCCCTTTCTTCAAATTTTGTGAGCTTCTAGATTAAATAGTATCCACTTTTTTACAACTCAGCCTCTCAAAACTACAAAATTGCTTTATTCCCAAGGAGTTTGGTACTCCAGTGTTACATGGTAGCTGAAACAGTAGAACTAAGCACTGAATTTTTTTTGTTAATGGTATTGTTCATCTTTGAAGAAGAATACAGTCAGTATAGATTCAATTGTAAGGCAATGATGCAGTCTCACCCTGTGTCCTCTTCCCATCATTCTAAGCACACTCCAGTTATTTCTACTGCTCTTTCTTGACCTTTTCTTAATTAAGGTTGTAACAGATAAATCTCCAAAGAGAAAAGCTCAGAGTTTGTCACTACCAGCCATTTTCTCTACTCAAGTGATTCATCATATTGACTTGATGGTTACTTAAGACCATAAATCTGTCTCAGCAGAGACACCTTACATCTGCTTGATGAAAACTAAATGTGATTTGTATTTTGAAAACAAAGCAGAATTTAAGACCAACCAATCAATGAAGGAGGCTTTGTTTTAATAGCTTCACCCTCCGTATTTCTCATAGTTTTTTTCTATCCTTAAAAAATTCCAACTTTTTCAAATTTCTTATGTTTTCTTCCCTTTTCTTTATGTTTAATTAGATCCTAACAATTCCTCACAGCTGTCATGATTCTATAAGTAACGTAATGACCTCTTACTTCCTTTAACATCATTGTAGCTACAATGCTTTACCATCAAGTCACAGTGAGACATATAATAGGAATAATAATAGTGTTTTTAAAACACTTACCTCATGCCAAGCTCTATGTTCAGAGCCTTGTATACATAATTTCTCCTTAAAGTAGTCCTTAAATTAGTTCTTAAAGTAAGCCCATGGAGTAAATAAGATCATCCCCCTTTTATAGATAAGTAAAGGTATCATTTTAGAGAGCTTACCTGACTCTCCCATAGTCCCACAGCTATAAAAAGTGGGACAGAGATTTTAACCGTTATCCATCCAAGTTCATAGCCACTGTGTTTCATCACCTTTTTTAAAGTCTGCACCAACACATGCCTTTCAGGATCTTTTGTGGATACCTCCTTCACACTGCATCCTCCACGTATTTACTGAAACTGCATATCTTATTCTAGTGTTTTTATTTGATTTTAGCAAACATTTTGAGCACATACTAGTAACAGGAATGGTGATTCTTAAAAGTTACCTTTTATGTATGCAGTTCCTTGAGGTGTGACTTCTCACGTTAATTGTAAGCTTCAAAAAGGGCAAGAGTTTTGTCTTCAGTTTCTTTTATCTCAACAGCTGGAGTATGAATACTAAATTTTGTATTTATAAAATGCTTCAAAAATTACAGAGCCTTTTTCCACAAATTATTTAATTTACTTCTCATAGTCCTAGAAGGTTGGATATGATTATTTCCATCTCACTGTTTAAAAAAAATATGAGCTTTGAGACATTAAGTGACTTATCTAAAGTCACATGCTAGTAAGTGCTTGCAAACAGGTCCTATGACACTGGGTCCCATCTATTTTCCACCCTATTCCTTAGCCTCCTTGTCTGTGCACCCTTCATGAGATGCTCCGCAAACAGGAACCTTATAGCCATTCTCCATCAAAAGCTTTGTTTTTGCCGTTATTCAGACATAATCCTGATTAACTCTATGCGGGGGTCTTCTACCCTATATTAACTACTTAACACAATGGGAAACTGACTTATTTGTAATAGTTGGCTACTAAAGAAACACTTATGTCATTGCTGGTTCTGATGTCAGATAAGTAAAATAAATAAACTGCAGCTCAAGGGAGAATTTCTGCTTCCTTCCTAATTCAATGAAGTTTCAAAAGCCTTAATAATTTGTATGCATCTTCTTCATTGCAGGAGAAGGAGTCTGAAAATGTGATACAGTAGGCTTTTATTACCCGCCCCCAAAGCTTGTCAAGTGCCTGGGCTTTCTAGTTTATAGCCAGGGTCTGTAGTGGACCAACCAAATGATTTGAAACCAGCCCAGAACTTCTATCTCTAACCATTGTCACTTGATTAGACACCTGATGTCATATGACTAGGTTAAAATTGTTCTGCTTATATTTTCCTCAAGTACAAGAAAGTGTACATTTGTGTTGCCAATAGATTTCTTATTAAGTGGATTGATAATCCATCTAGTTTAAAGTTCTTCCATAATATTTTATGCTTTGGGGAAAAAAGATGTCTAAGAATGCCTATTTCAGAATTTAAATTTTAATTAACTTGCATGCTTAAAACTCTTTAATAGATTCCTATTGGACCTAGTTTACAACCCAGACCACTCACCATGGTGTACAAATCTGCATGTAACTTAGTCCTTGCCTATTCCTTTCTCAGCCTCACATCTCTTGGGGTTCTCCCATTCAATCACTACATTTATTCATGTCAGTTTTTGATCAATTCCTCCAATGAACCAAGTTCTTTCCTGCCTCAAGACCTCAATACTAGTTCTCCCCTCTGTCTAGAACATTCTTTCTCATTTCACCCCTACTATATGCACGTGAACTTGCTTGTCTAGCTTCCAGTCTTAGATTAAAGACACCTCCCCAAGTAGGTCTCCTATATTAGTCTCTATGATAGCATACTATTTTTATTTTCTTCTTATCAGCTGCAATCATGGTTTGGTTGGTTGGCTGGTTAGCCGGTTGGCTGGTTGGCTCGTTGGTGGGTTGGTTGGTTGGTTGGCTGGCTGGCTGGTGAGTTGACTCACTACTTACTGTATCTTCAATGGGGCAGGGACCCCCTCCAACTTGTTCACCACCTTATCTCTGACATCTAGCACAGTGCCAGGCACATAGTAGGTGCTCTATAAACATCTGTTGATATTGTAGAATATCAGTAGTGCTGTAGCTAAAAAATTCCATCTTACCCCAAACAAAATTGTTAGGAGTAGTCAGAAACTTTACTAGCAAAATTAGAATTTTTACTATTTAAAAAAAATCACTGTTATAGAGTAGCACTTAAATTGAACATTTCGTATAGGAGTATAAAATAGATGAAAAATTGAAGTATTAAGCTTCGTGTAGAGGGTAGACATGGGCAAAGATAAGCACCAGCAATTCACTGATATCGACAGAGCAACTAATAGGGTGTTCCAAATTTTTTTTTTTAAACTTAAAGTGATAATTGGGCAAGAATTTTTTTTAATTTTAATGCCCCCTCGATTCTTCATCTTTGTATTAGTTTGCTAAGAATGCCAAAACAAAATGCCATACTTGATGGCTTGAACAGCAGAAATTTATTTTCTCACTGTTCTGGAGGCTGGAAGTCCAAGGCTAAGGTGCCAGCAGGGTTGGTTTCTCCTGTCCTTGACTTGCAGAGGGACACCTTCTTGCTATGCCCTTAAATAACCTTTTCTCTCTACCTTACTGTCTCTTCCTCTCCTTAAAAGAACATCAGTCCTATGAGATTAGGGCCCCACACTATGAACTCATTTAACTGTAATTAAAGGCCCTATCTCCAAACATAGTCACATTCTAAGGTACTGGGGGTATTCATATGCTTTAGCATATAAATCTTGGGGGAGACACAATTGAATCCATAACCCATTTCACTACTGAATCCACTGAATTGTATGCCTTTAATATTTTTAATGTGTAGGTCAAGATTTAACTGACTGTCTTTGGTACATTTTGTTGATTTTGAAAAATGTGAGTTTACTGCAATCTTTTGAAAAAGAAATTATAATCTGTTGAAAGAAAAAAAGAAGAGTTGTCTACACTTACTGACAGTGTCTCTTTTATATGAGTTTTCATTTCCTGTTAACACAACTCCTTTTCTTTAGTAAAATTTTTAGGAACTTCAATTATAGAACTGGACTTCTGAGAAAGGTATTTCCTTAGAATCCTGGAAATAAAAATCTAAAGACTGTCACATCAGGAACAGTTGGAGTAGAAGGAAATGGGGGAGTCTGAGAGTTTTTAGAAGGTAGAATGCATGACCTTGACTGTAACATAGAGGGTTATTGAAGTCAGGGTCTCAATAAAGGAGTTTAAAGGTCTCCCTTAAGGAAGCCATTATTGTGGTAAGCTCTTATTGTTATCCATGAAGATTGCCATTTCATGATTTCCTGTCTTTTTTTGTTGTTCGAAACCACTCACAAAGGGCCACTACACTAAGCTTTGAGAGTTAGTTTCTTTCCCCATTCTTCAGTCCCATAAAACCACTTCTCGGTCCCCATTGTCACTTTGTTCCTTTCTACCCTGACTCTCTTGAGCTCGCTGACTCCTAAATGCCAAAAGCAAGTGCTCTATTCCCTTAGCATTTTGCTCTAAACCAACTGCCAAAGATAGGAAATAATTAATAAAGCAATCTTCCATTTAAGTTAACTAATAATGCTTTCTCAGGCACTAATCCTTTTAATAGAAGAGTAGTATATGAAACTCGATGGCCTTCTAAATTAATTTCTAGTGATAAAATTCCCATCACTATCCAGAGTAGTAGAAAAAATATGAAAAAAAAAATAGAAACATTTATATATGCTTTTGCTTTTACATTTATATATGCTATATGCTTTGGATCACAGTATTTTCTGGTTGACTACCCTAAACTGGAAAGCAGAAAAGGCCCAGAAAAAAAATCAAAGGAATGTGAACAAACCCTGAGTTCCCAGAAATCTTTACCAAATCACACTTTCACAAGCCCTAGTTCAGCTGGGGCCACTTGAGTTTCCTAGAATGCCATGTTGAAATCACTGGCAACAGACACTGGCCATGCATTTCAGGTAGAAAGTGGAGTGTTTTCAAAATAATGGATTTTCCTGCTCTGAAATGCAGTCAACACTGCAATCACTTTTTAATTCATCACAGTCTCGTAACAAGATTACTGATTATAAAGTCCTGAAATGAATAGCTAGGGCTGGAGAAAGTGTTGGAATTGGTATTTATTTTAATGATTTAGGGATTATTGACCATTCATTTTCAACTATTTGTAATTGACGTCTTGAAATAGAGAAATTTATCAGAGGAATGCCTCCTTCACCCTTGTGTAATTTGAACATGCTGAAATGGCACATGTGGACCCATAAATTGTTCATGTGCACAAAGGGGTAATATATCACACAGGCCCTCATTCACTCAGTGTTGGGGGAGGAAAGGTGTGGAAGTATGAGTTATCGCTTGCTATACAGAATCCCATATTTTCACGTCTTACATTTCTAGGAGGCTTTTTAAAAACATAACCTTCATATTACTTACACTAGCTAGTCATTCATTTTAAAAGATACTTTTATCAGAAGTTTTTATCAAGGTTTTTAAAATTATTTATCAAAATACAAATGTTTCTGACAAAGTCACTTTCAAGGTGTCAAAGAGATCATGTTCCTGGGCCTGGAGCAATGGGCATTGTAATCCACACACACTGTGTTGAATTAGATGTATAGTCCCTAATACATGAGCCAGAAATGATAAACATGTTAAAATCAAATTCAGTTGTCTCTTTGTGGGGTAGTTTGATGTCTAAAGAAAAGACAGTGTAACTTTCTCTTTTTCATTGAAGCTGTAATAAGGAACTTAGTTATTATTTTTAACCATTGCAGAATGCAGACATTGTTTTATAAAGGCAGACATCTGCTTTAAAGCATCAGTTTTCCAGAGTTAACTCTGCCTTTGCTCTTAAAATTATTCTTACTCCAAATCTAAACTTGTGTACTGAATAAAATCTCAGTCCACTGGGATTGATACTATACATTATGTAAGCCCAATATCCGACAATTTTCTGTCTTAAGGGAATGTTTGTATCTGTTAAATACTCATGAAAAACGCTCTCTTTTATATCATTTATATTTCGGCTTCATTTCACGTATTTGTGTTTTCTATTTTGTTTTCAAGATCTTCTAGATCCTTGATACTCAGTGTTGAACCAGTACACTGGACCAATATTGTCGACATTTCTTGGAAGCCTGTTAGAAATGCATTTTCTCAGGTCCCACCCTCCCAACTTCCCCTACTATACCACCACAGAACCAGAAACTGCATTTTCACAAGATCCCTCGGTGATATGCTTACACTTTAAAATTCGAAAAGCACTGCTCTAGATAATTGTCAGATGGCAGATGATATTTTGAAGGAGATGAGGATTACTAATGGATATGAGCATGTTACTTAAAAGGCAAAATAATAATATTGTATTAACTAATATTTTTGAGCACCTCACGTGTTCCAGGCATCACACTCTTTTGATGCTTTTTGCATATATTATCTCATTTGAGCAAAAGGAAAGAGAAGCCTCTTTTTCTGAGGAAGGAGAAATCAGCTGTTAGATAGGGAAATCCAGGAATGTTCTAGTTATTTATTATAGCTCAGAGAAAAGGGCTAAGTCTAGAGTGAAGTATGCACATGAAGACAGCTATAGCTTATATATGTAAGGAGTATAGGCTAGAGCAGAGATAATGAAGACAGGGATGTCTTATGAATGACCAGGGGGGGAAAAAAAAAAACCCTGTTATATAGTGGATTCAGCCAACCAGAGAATAGCTATTTGGAAGTGACATAGCCAAAATGCTGGAAGAACATAATTACTCACTCATCTTCTCACTTCAGAACAAAGGTTAAAACACTATGTTTCATGTTTACTCTATTTGTAAATGTACATATAAATGATATAATAGTATGTTACTTGATATGGATCTAAGTGATTACAATGAATAATTCTTACAACCTTAATATTGGCATAAGAGGGTGTGTTTACAATATGTATTTATGAGTTAATTTCTTTAAGGAAGAGCCGTAAGTATAAGAACGGATGCAGAAGACTATGTTTATAAATGAGAGGAACTAGTTTCTGATCTTGATTCTGAACTGAAACATACCACAATAACTGATAAGCCAAACTACAACCAACTAGTCTGTTAACAAGATTAGTGCTATTGGTATGTTTCGTAGAATTATTTTTAATGGCACCCAAAACTTAGTCTTGAATGGAGGATTTCAGAGAATGAAGTTTTCTGAAATACAGAAGAATTAATAATGCTTCTATTTGCATTAGTTTTTAGGAACTCAGATCATCCTTATTCTAGTATGAACAGTTTCTGTCAATTTATAGGAGGCACTAAAAAATTCCATTAATGTCATTAGGAGTCACTACTATAATTCTGTTTCTCTGGAAGTAAATATAAAAGGCAGGTTATAAATAGGTAGTAATAGTAAGATGAGACTTGTATTATTAGTTACCTTATGCTGCATAACAAATTATCCCAAAAGTTAGTAGTTTAAAACAACAAACATTTATCATATCAGAATTTCTGTAGGTTGAGAATCCAGGTTTGGCTTAGCTAGGTCCTTCTGGTTCAAGGGCTTCCATGAGGTTGCAATCAAGATGTCACTTCAGGCTGTGATCTCATCCGAAGGCTCTACCAGTGGGGATTCATTCACGTGGTAACTGGCTTGCTTGGGTTTCTCATCGCCTACATCCTTCCGTAAAGGCTGCTTTATGACCTGACAGCTATTTTCCCACCAGACAGACCAAGAGAGCTAAAGAGAAAGCAAGCAAGCCCAAGATGGAAGCCATGGTCTTTTTATAATCTCATGTTGGAAGTGACATTCCATTCCTTCTGCCATATGCTATTCATTAGAAGCAGATTAGTAAGTCCAGCCCATCCTAAAGGGGAGGAAATTACATGAGAATGTAATACCAGCCGGTAGGGATCACTGGACATTGACCACAATGATTTTTTTTTTTCTTCTTGCTTTCATATTTTCTAACATGTTAATTTTGGACATGTGTTACTTGTGTAATAAGGAAAGAAAAAACATTAAAGGCAATAAAAGTAAGGAGAAATTCTTCTTACATCAGATGTATTGATCAGAATAGTCACCTCTCTATGAGGCTTTCTTAGTAAGACAATTGAATTGACTGAAGACAGGATTTATTAATGACCTTCCTGACTACATACTAGATCATGTTACAAATTTAAGCCGAGATTGTTAATCTAACAGGGTTTTGTGTCACTTGCAAATTTTTTGCACTGAAACATTGAAATAGTAAAAACTCCTCGTGGTAATATGACTGCAGCAATCTTTCTCAGTTTCCTAACAGTCTCCTTCTTGCTCTGTTCTTAATAGCATGCTTGAGAGTTCAAACCGGCTTGATGAAGAACACAGGCTAATCGCCAGGTATGCGGCAAGGCTGGCAGCAGAGTCCTCTTCATCTGTAAGTAGTTGGAGTAAAAGGATTCATCTGTTGGCATCTGGGATCCTTGAATTTTATATGTTATGTTTATTGTTATTATAGCTGGTGCTGATTACCAGGACAATTTGTGCTAATTTATTGCGCATGTGTTTGTTGCTATGTTTGTGGTGTCTTGGTGGTGAATTTACAGTTTAAAAATGGAAGACTTGAGAAACAAAACCATCCACAGTAGTGTGACCCTGGAGTCAAGCTGGAATCCTCGCATCCCCCTTCACTCAGTGTCAACTCCATATGAAGGCCCGAGGAAGGGGGCAAGGACTGGTTGTGACTCCTTTAATGTATTTAAAGCAGGTGTGGTTAGTGAAAGCACTAAATTTAAGGTAGAGTAGTTGCAAGTGACGCTTAAAATATACCAGTAGAGATAATAAAGCTTTCTCCATTTGTGTCTGTCTCTGAGACAAAAGCAACTGTCAGCTCGACACATTGATTCAGAATTCATCTGTGCTGACTGAGGGTGAGTTGCAATTAGTGCGTCAAAAGGACAAAGGGTGGCGGGGAGCAAGTGAGGAAGCTGTGGCCTGCACCTCTCACATCAGATGTTGCAGTTATCAGAGCCCTTCCTGCTGAGCATTTAACCTAATGATCCCAGATGGGAGCTGCATAATGACCCATTGCATTAGCCCTGGCACGTGCTCTCTGTGACATCCATGACTGTAACACTGTTAGAAACTACCATGAGCAAGATGGAAGGGATCCAGGGCAGGCTAAAAGTGTGCTATGTGCCCCCAAAATCAGATGTGGTGAAACAGAGATGTAATTGGAGTATATGAAATTTTAAGGGACATAAGTAAGAAGCAAACGTGTTAAAATCGAAATATAAAATCAGCTGAGAATATGGGAGAACTAGATTTTAGGACAAGCAGCGCCTCCAGGAGTCACTTGAAAGTAAAAGCAAAACAAGGTTTCTTGCCTTTATCCATGCATATACCTCTATAAACAGAGGCTATGGTATACCAAGATATGGGATTAGCAATGTGTGTCCCAGCTCTCTATGACCTCATGCAAAGCACTACTTCTTTGAGTTCAGTCTCCTCATCTGTACATAGGCATAAATATGCTCATTATATATGCCAGTGCTGCCTGTTATTAGCATCCACTGAGACAGTAAAATGTATGAAAGTACTGCATAAACCAGCAATTACAAAATGGCAGCCTGCAGACCAAATTTGTCCCCCAGAAATGTTTTGTTGAGCCCTACAGTGTTTTCAATTCTTTATTAGATGTCAGGACTTACAAATCAGATGGGTTTTCCTTGAAAGTCTGGATTTTCATCTTATTTTAAAAGACTGACCAGATCAGATGCATATTCCTTCTGACAGCAGGCAGCTGGAGTGGAGGCGTTCCTCTGCTGCTTCGGACAGGGCAAGCGTGTGGCACTTTGCCACAACCCTTACCCTGGCCCACCTCCCTCCCTTGGGTTACTTCCCTGCCCCTTTCAGCCTTTGAGTTAGTGATCCCTGGCAGACTGCTAAATCTCCATGCACATGTTATTATTTATATGTGCACTAATTTCTCCAGTCTTGTTCCATTTCTTTCTAGAGAACATTAGTAACTTGGGTTCCTTGCCTACATACACCATATATAACCTTTGTGGATCCATCATAGGAAAGATACCGTCCACACATTAATTCTAGTTCCTTTGTAAATCTCTTCATAACCACATATTAAGAATAGTATGATTAGCTGAATAAATCATGATTAGTAAAATGACACTTTGTTAGAAATGAGATAGAAAGGTCATTTACTTGGGTCAATGTTTTTCTGTATAATTCCTGATCAATTAATATACATAGCAAAGCAATAACTGAAATTCACTACTGGCTCAGATAAGTTTCTACCATTTATCAATACATAAAGTATATGCCAGAAAAGGAAGTCTTATGTAATGAAATCAGAAGAAAATCTCGAACCACAAGTCAGTGCTGCCATATGCCAGAATTAGCTATCGAAAGTCATTTAGAGTCTAAAATGTAGGACCTCAAAATTTCTTGTTAGCTACACAAGTCATTCCTTTGCTGAAAAGAGGTGTGAATTAAAATGCATAGACAGCTTTATAAAAGCAAAACCTTTACAAAAGTTAATCTTTCCTACAGTTGGGTTTATGGACATTAAAAAGCAGGACAAGATTCTCTGCATCTGGCTCAGGCAACAGTTCCCATTTTTAAAAGCTTTGCATTCTTCGGTAGAAAGATTAGCTGTGATTTTTAAAAATTTGTTTTTAAAACAATAAAAATTGGTGTGGAGGGCCAGGTGTAGTGGCTCATGCCTGTAATCCCAGCACTTTGGGAGGCCAGGGTGGGCGGATCACGAGGTCAGGAGATTGAGACCGTCCTGGCTAACACGGTGAAACCCCGTCTGTACTAAAAATACAAAAAATTAGCCGGGTGTGGTGGTGGGCGCCTGTAGTCCCAGCTACTTGGGAGGCTGAGGCAGGAGAATGGCGTGAACCCAGGAGGCGAAGCTTGCAGTGAGCTGAGCTTGTACCACTGCACTCCAGCCTGGGCGACAGAGTGAGACTCCACCTCAAAAAAATAAAATAAAATAAAATAAAATTGGTCTGGAGGAATTTCCAAAATGGACTGTAAGGCAAAGAAAGCAAGACACAGACAAGTGTACATAATCTGACCCCATTTTTGTAAAACAACACCAAATAAATCCTTGACTAAATATACATAAACACACACAGATATTTATATATATATATATGGTATGATATGATTAATGATATCTATATTTATCTGAGAATGGAGGAAGCTATGACTGCTTGTATACCAGTTGTTAAAGCTGATTGCATTACTGAAAATGATGGGCTGGAGTGGTTTGAAGGTAGAAGAAGCAAATCAAAGGATATACATGAATATGTGAATTCATCAATCTAAAATTACATGTGTGAATAAAGAAATACATTAAAGTTTGCTGATTAGAAGAATCAGAAAAGTAAGTCTTACTATGACTTTAAAACTGTATTTTTATTTATTTTTGTGAGATGGAATCTCGCTCTGTCACCCGGGCTGGAATGCAGTGGCATGACCTCAGCTCACTGCATCCTCCACCTCAGGCTCAAGCGATTCTCTTGCCTCAGCCCCTCTAGTAGCTAGGATTACAGGTGTGTGCCATCAGGCCCAATGAATTTTTGAATTTTCAGTAGAGATGGGGTTTCCCCATGTTGGCCAGACTGGTCTCGAACTCCTGATCACAAGTGATCCGCCCACTTCAGCCTCCCAAATTGCTGGTATTACAGGCGTGAGCCACCACGTCTGGCCTAAAACTATATTTTTAATTGTATATTACAGTAATTGAACAGTAACTCTAGAGAAAGCACCCTCTCAACAGTGCAACATCTTTTAAAGCCACCTATAATGAAAGAATAGGTACAATGGGGATAGTGTGGCAAAAATAAAATCACTTCCCAAAGATAGTCAGTCAGAAAACTGAAAAATCATTTTTCCTACCTTTTGTGTATTTGCTTGCCAGAGAATTCTGTTGTCTTCCACCTCACAGATGTGCTTCGGATCCACAGAAAAGTTGGTCCGTAGGAGAAGAATGGCAATTGAATTTTATGTATTTGCTTTCTTTGTTTTGATAGAAATAGTCCCCTCCTCCTTGTCTGCGTATCTCATGACTCCTGCCTTCCCAAATACATAGGTTCACATTCTCAATATGAAATCTTCCAAACTACTTATTTTACAGCAGCCAACTCAGCAGAGAAGTGCTCCTGACATCTCTTTCACCATCGATGCGAATAAGCAGCAAAGGCAGCTGATTGCTGAGCTAGAAAACAAGAACAGGTGAGGCTTTGTAGACGTGCTGGCTTGTTTGATCCACGTGCGCATTCATTAATAACCTATGGTCGTGCTTTAAAGTTTCAGGGCTTTACACCCTGTATGCATACTCAAGGGAAGACATCTACAGTCAGTGATGCTCACTTCCGAAAAGCTAGTCTTTAGATCTTTAGAACTTCAGAAGCTTCATGAGAAAACTGCGTGTGTGTGTGTGTGTGTGTAGTTCTGAGATGTCGTTGCAATTAATGTTGCCCCTCTAGATAGTCTCACTTCCCTTTTGCTGACATACTTAATTTTGTTCAAGAGCTCCTAGTGCAGGAGGAGCCTCCTGCGTACTTGGTAGAAGGTGTCTCTACCACCCAGAAACAGGTAGGAAGGTCACCAGAGAGACGCCCTGGAGGGACCCTGCGCTAAAGAGGCATCTGGAGAGACACCACCATCACCCAGTTACTCTATCCAAACATGCAAAGATCTCCACCTGCAGCCCATCAGCAGGTTCTTCCTCTATTCAACACAGATTGACTCACAGTCTGCCTCCACGGCATACACCCCAAACATTGCCCAGCTCATCTCCACCACCACCCAGTTCAGCCTGTCCTTTTCAAAAACACCAATCTTATGTTAGTTATTCCAGGTTTAAACCCTCTAATGTGTTCCCATCACACTTCAGTTAAATCCCACTCCTCTTACCGTGACCTGCAAGGTCCTACCTGACCTGATTCCCTCCTGCCATTCCAGCCTCAGCTCACCTTGCCCAGCACACTCCTGCCTCCCGTGTCTTCCTCCTGTCTTACAGCCTTTGAATTTGTCGTTCCCTCAGCCTAGAAAGCTCTTCCTCCGGGTCTCTGTGTGAATGGCTCCTTCTCATCACTGAGGTCTCAGCTCATATATCACCTCCTAAAAGACCACCTGTCTCATCCCGCCCACTCGCCCCAGCCCAGAAACTAGTCTCAATTACATCCTCCTGTGTGTGGGGGGAGGGCGGCAGGGGGTGTCACTTATCACCGTCTGAAATAACCGTGTGTGTTTCTTTGTTTATTGTCTGTCTTCCCTGACTGAAATGGAAGTTCTTTGAGAACAGAGTCCATGGCTAAATGGTCCCTGGAGCCCAGAACCAGGCCTGGCAATTGTAGAAGCTCAGTAGACATACATTGAGTGAGAAAACGATGAATAGCTGAGTTAAATCTCAAACTTGGTGCTGAGGAAACCTAACGTGGAACAATTTGTACTAGGTTGGTGCAAACGTAATTGTGGTTTTTGCCTTTATGTTTAATTACTTTTAATGGCAAAAAGCACAATTATGTTTGCACCAACCTAACACATTCTAGTAACATGTTTCTTGAAACGGCACTAAAACATTTCCACGCTTAATCCCATTCTTAAAACACTGATGTGACATTTGAGGTCAAACTGGTGGAGTAAAGGAGGAGGTTGTGATAATTATTTCATGCCTGTAAAGTTTAACCTGAGAATTTGGGGATAAATGATCAAAGTATTCTTTAAAGTTCTCAAGAAAGAATAAAAAGGAAGGTGCAAACTCTGGTTGGCACATTTTCATATTTTTTTCTAGTAAGGAAAGCTTTTGGCTTAGTTGTCTTGAGACCTGGTTGTCATCATTAGGAAACCGCAAATTAGGATAGAAATAGCTTCATAAATGTGACACCATGACTCCATCACCTTTGAAACTACTGCTCTACTCTGACCCCCGGGGAGATGTGCTCACATCAGAGCTGGAATTTAAAAAATTAAAAAATTAAATTTAAAAAAAGTGTGTCCCAGCCGGACGCGGTGGCTCAAGCCTGTAATCCCATCACTTTGGGAGGCCGAGACGGGCGGATCACAAGGTCAGGAGATCGAGACCATCCTGACTAACCCAGTGAAACCCCGTCTCTACTAAAAAAAATACAAAAAACTAGCCGGGCGAGGTGGCGGGCGCCTGTAGTCCCAGCTACTCGGGAGGCTGAGGCAGGAGAATGGCGTAAATCCGGGAGGCGGAGGTTGCAGTGAGCTGAGATCCAGCCACTGCACTCCAGCCTGGGCGACACAGCGAGACTCCGTCTCAAAAAAAAAAAAAAAAAAAAAAGTGTGTCACATGTGATCCCTCTCAATGTAGCAAATAATAGGAGGAAAGAATTAAGAAGGGAAAGAGTAGATGCATAGTGAAGAATTAGAAAAAAATAGCCATACAAATTGGAAGTTGTTCAGGATAGTCACAAGTCTGTAAAATTACGTATTCTATTTTATATAACATTTATTATATCTACTATGTGCAAGTAATTGTGCCAAGTCAGAAACAAGCAGTGAGAGTGGGAGCCAAGGCTTCAAATGAGCAAAGGCACTTAAAATAAGGTAGGAAAAAGAACCCACAAAAAGGAAAAGGGTAGTTGGGGGATGCAAGTAAAAGTGGGGACAGGCAGGCACTGGAGAAAGTGTACGAGCTGAGCTGGCAGGCAGAGGGCTCAAGGCAAACAATGTAAAAGAACCATTGGACTTTGTGGTTCATGGAAAGCTTGTGTGAGCATTGATGACATTGATGGCAATGGGGAGTAGGAGAATGGAGGGGCCGTCCTCAAAGGTACTGATACTTTACATCAATTCGGGCACTGGAAATATCATGGCAAGAAAAAGAAGCAAAATAAACCAGTTTTAAATTATTGACGATTAGACTTAATCCAAAGTTTCAGCTTTTTTGGAACAAAATATTATGGTTGATAACCTCAGCAAATGTTAGAATTGGAATGTAAAACAGTTTTGTTTTATTTTGGGTTTTTTTTTTTTTTCAGTCCACAAAGTAAACCAATAATATATGGTGGGAAAGGTTTATTTAAAATGACTCAGAATTAACAGATGTCAGTAAGTCAGTCAGTGTCCCATAATAAGGCAACAGAAAGAGCTAAAGAAGAGAGGAGGAAAGAAGTGATAAAAACAACCATTGTATCTGCTATTGGAAGGCTATGCCAGCTTGGAAGGCTATGCCAGCTTGAGGCCTGAATGAACACCAGAATTGAGGCCATCTTCTGAAGAAGGACCTAACTTTCTATGTAGTCCATTCATTTGGAGTTTCTACTAGACATCATTCCATAGTCCCTTCTCCATCCCTTAGTCCCTTTTCTCTAAGACATATTATGATTGCTAACGAGCATGGAGCTATCCAATGGGGAAGGGACCACAGCTGATATTAATAACATATGCTCACAGCTTCCAGGTGGCAGCAGTAAGAAACCTGGGTCTTTGTTTTGGGGTGTTGAAGCGAGAATAAGGACAACTTTAAAATACATTTAAAGTACATGTGTACAAATATAGCTTCGTTTCGTCCTCAGAACAACTATTTAATATAGGCAGATTGACTATTATCATCCCCATTCTACAGATAAAAATTTAAATGTGAGGTGTTATTTCTACTCTTTTTCCCCAACATGACCCACTTCACCATCATTGTGGTCTAGGTTGTGTAGGGCAAACTTCATGGGGAAGGTGAGTTTTTAGGACATTTCAGGACAGTGAAATTTTGCAGTGAAAGTTCAGAGATAGAATTCCAGGTAAAAATACACATAGACTTTGAGAAAAGCAGCAAGACACTTGCCAGGCTAGCACTGAGGAAGCGAATAAAGAATAAAACGAAAACATCAGTATATGAAGCTTGTACACCAGACCAAAGAATTTTAATTCTATCCTGTCTTGATGGACAGCAGTGGTCAGGCAAGTGACAGAATGTCCGCATGTTTATGGCAAAGTAATCAGCTCACTAAATATGCAGGTTGCATTTACAAGGGGTTGACCAGAAGCTGGTGGGAAGTGATGAGGAACTAAGATAGATGGTCCCAGAAATAAAAATAAAGGAACCCAAAAAGGAGATGATTAGACAAAAGGCAAAATAGTGCTGAAATGTTAATTTACAAGATTCTATTACTCATTTCTAAACTTCCCACTAGGGATTCCAGATTTTCCAACGACAACCTTCACACAACTCAGATTTTACTAGCAATCCTCTTTTCTTTCCCTCTCTTGTTGTTTCCTTCCTCCTATTCATCTGTCCCAATACAAAGAGAAGAGATAAAACGTCAAGGTCAAAAGGGGCGTTGTGGAATATCAAAAGGAGGTTAACCCTGACCAGAGTTTTCACCAGCTGCAGCATCAGGCCTACATCCCTTCTTAGAAAGAAAAGACTAACAGAAATTCACAAGCTCAAGAATATCTTATCTCGGTTGCGGTGTTAATTAACCTACTCTGCCACTTCTTCAGAGCACTTTGTTTTCCCCTCCAATACTCTGCTTCCACTCAGGCATGGGGATAACACATTTGAGGGGAAAGCAGGACTTCTTTTGAGGAAATACCCCAGGGATATCTGCCTCCATATGGGTCTATTTCTGATACCAGAATCAGCAGGAAGCACCATGAAGGCCCCCACAACCCTGGTCATGCCTTAATATCACTCTTGTTGCTTGTTTCCTGAACACTTTTGGATCACACTCTCTAAATCCATGTCTTTAAGAACTAGAGAGAGAAAAAAGAAACAGGAGTGAGAAGCAGAAAGAGAGATACGTTCTGTCCCTGAGTTCTTTTGTGGGTTCCAGAGCTCCCCCAACCCATCTCTGATGAGCAGCAAGTGCATCCTGAGCTCATCTCTCTGAGTCAGCAGCCTGGTGCTCTCTAGACATCCCAGAGCCAAAAGCTCCTTCAGGTAATACTACTGCACCGTGGAAACCCACCCAGAGAACCCATGTCTCTAAGGTGACAACCCAATAATCAGATCTGTGAATTTAAGGGGAGGATGGAGTTCCTCACTTCATTTAATGACTTTGTGTACCCCAGGTAATCACAGACATTTCAGCAATGATCTTTAGAAGATAATGGTCCCTTATAGCACCTTTGGTGGAGTCAATCAGTTAGTATTAGGAGTACCAGGAATCTTCAAATTATATTGTATAAGTCACAGCCTGTCTTGGCTAGACCTGGCAAAGCAGGTACCAGAAGACTGAGGCAGGCTGATATACGTGGGCTTTCGGGCTAGCCAGCCTGGATTCACATCACCTCTACCATCTCCTTGTTATTGAACTTGGGGAAATCTTTTAACTGGTCTGTGCCTGGATTCTCTCATTCATTAAACAGAGATAATAATGGTACCTATATATAATAGAACTGTTATAGAATGAAATAAAATAATATTAAAGCAGACAGCAGAGTTCCCAGGTACAGACTAACTACTTGATGCATGTTACATATCTCTTCTTATTTTTTCTTACCAGAGCTGCTGCTCTCTTTTCCTTCCTTGGACTAAATGGCTCTGTCATGTTTCTGTCTTTAGCATCAACAAAGAGAATAGCAGGAGTCATAGAATATCAGGGTGTTAGCCCTGGAGGAAATCTTGGAAATCCCACTTCGCTGATTTTCAGGCTGAGCTCTATGGTATCCTGAGGGCTCTGCAGGGGCACCTGGGAGGGCAGAGCAGGTCCCAGCAACACAGGGACTTGTCATCATTTCTTTAACCCCAGCAGCACCCCTCCCCTTAAACTGTCTGACATATTGGGTATCCATGGCATATTTCTTTTAAAGAAAGGATTCCTCCATGGAATCCCAAAGAGGAGGAAAAAAAAAGATGGAAAACCACTGAATTACAGTTCCATCTTCTCACCACACCCACGAAAGGTATAATGACTCACTAGTCATTAGCCTCCTGATTCTGGGGGTTTTGTGAAGCAAGTAGTTTTAAATCAGCCTTCCAAAATGGAAAGCCACTTCCTTGTCCACCAAATTCACTTTCCATTTGCAGTACTTTCCTCTATCTTACTGGCTCCTATGCCTTTGGTTGAGTAGGAAACTGACACCCCCAGCTCCCAAGAATACATGACTTAGAACACTGCTTAATGGCTTCTGACTCGCTCAGGGATAATTTGCCTTGCCAGGTCACATATCCTTTATGGCTAGCCTAATGCTCACCCAAATGCAGGGAAGCCCAGGCTCTGACATCAATAGTAGACTGACACATCTCACCTCTGACAGAGGTCACACCAATAGGACTCTATGTCACAGACTCAATTACAGTGAATCTTTTTAAAAGCACTTTCCTTCTAAGGTGGACTTCCCTGAGATCCATTGTTAAGGCTGAGAGATTTAAGAAAAAAAAAAAGAGAAAGAATTTTGTCTAACTCAGGTCTTCTCAGATAAATTCAATATGAGAAGTCCCTTGGTGAGAGAATGAGGTTACTTAGTTTTGTAAAATGAGCCCCATTTATCCTTATTTTCCCTTCAGGCTCCTCTTACTTCGTAGCTACAGGTACTTCATGGTGGCAGAGTGTGATCGTAAATAACAGGAAGATGCACTTTTGTCTGTTAAGCAGCACACTCTTCAAAGTTGGACGCATTACCACTGCATTAGATTACTTGCTAGAGAGATGACTGGGTCCTGGTGATTTAACTCAACGACATGCTGCAGAAGCTTCAAGGTTTGGATGTACTGGAAATGAAGTCAATCTTCCCGTCACCCACAGCACCCACCTAGCTGTAGTCAAAGCCTCTTAAATACACTGGAATCTGTTGGTTAGGGAAGGTCGGTTCTGCTCCTAAACATAGGATGATCCCTTCTCCCTTTGTTCTGGTGGCCTTGATCTGCTCCAACGTGAGTATCCTGAAAGCTAACTAACCTTGGTTTCTCACCTTCCTCCTCTCTCCCAAGAGAAATCTTACAGGAGATCCAGAGACTTCGGCTAGAGCATGAACAAGCTTCTCAGCCCACGCCAGAGAAGGCACAGCAAAACCCCACCCTGCTGGCAGAACTCCGGCTCCTCAGGTAAGAGAGCACCCACCTCATCTCAGGGAATATATATGCGTGAGATCTTTGAGAAAGTCTAGCAGTGTCTAGCCAGAAAACAGTCCTCAGCTACCTTAGCTGCTGACGTTTGTTGTTGTTGTTGTTTTTGTTTTTTGTTGTTGTTGTTGTTGCTGCTTTCATAGCATACACCTAATTGCTGATATCTGGGGGATTTAGAGGGAAGCTGCTTCTATTTTGTTCTTTCATTTGGTACAGGGAAAAGCAGCGTTTGTTTTGTTGTTGTTTTTTTGAGACGGAGTTTCGCTGTTGTTGCCCAGGCTGGAGTGCAACGGCGCAATCTCAGCTCACTGCAACCTCCGCCTTCCAGGTACAAGCAATTCTCCTGTCTCAGCCTCCCAAGTAGCTAGGATTACAGGCATGCGCCACCACACCCAGCTAATTTTTTTGTATTTAGTAGAGATGGGGTTTCACCATATTAGTCAGGCTGGTCTCGAACTCCTGACCTCAGGTGATCCACCCGCCTCAGCCTCCCCAAGTGCTAAGATTAAAGGCATGTGCCACCACCCCCGGCCAGCAGTGTTCTTTAGATCAAAAACAGCGTGTCTCACTAGGAACAATTTGAACTCAGCACTTTTTAGAAATAACCAGTTAAATAAACATCACAAGTTTTTAAATGTAAACATTTACTCCAACTCTAAAAGGAGTCTGATTTTTTCTCAGTCTTGGTCTCTAATATCTTTATATTCAGATCTTTAGTGTTAGGCATCATACCTTCTTGTACTGTAAATGAACGTAAAAGCCTAGTCTTGTTTAGCCTGTCATCATAAAATACTTGAGTTAGAAGGGACTGTAGAAGTCATCTTGTTACCTCTGAAGGGTCTTGACTACGAAGTTGTCCAGGGTCTTGGCATTTTGAATAAAGAACTGGACAGAACGCACAAACGAAGCAAAAAAAGAATGAAGCAACGAAAGCACAGATTTATTGAAACGAAAGTACACTCCACAGAGTAGGAGCCAGCTCCTGTAAGCGGTTCAAGAGCCCTGGTTACAGAGTTTTCTGGGGTTTAAATACCCCATAGAGGTTTCCCATTAGTTACTTGGGTACACCCTGTGTAAATGAGGACTTGGCCCAGGACCACTCTGATTGCTAGCAGGAGGCGACCCAATCGGAGGCTGAAGTGAAGTTGAAAAGTTACATCCTATGCAAACATTTGATTGGTTGCAGGAGGGGACCAATCAGAGGTACTTGCCATTATTCATCTGCCTCACCGTACACAGGGAGTAGCCTCTGATCCTTTTGTTACTTGGGTGTGTAAAGGTGAGGTTTTCCTTTTCATTCAGTTCTAGGAAGTCAGTACAAATCGGCCTTAGTTTCGCTGCCTCCAGACCCTATTCTTCTGCCTCAATCAGATTCTGCCGCTGCATTTCAGTGCACTTCTCAGAGTCAGAAGCTAGGGAGTAGCAGGCCTTCGAAAAGAAATGTGGTTTCTCCTACTGCACCCACGCTGCAAAATGAAAATCTTGCTGTGGGCTCCATTTCAGACTAGCTTCATACCATGCCTTGAATAAGGCTGGTATTCCAGTGTATTTATGTGGCAAACAACACGAAACTAAATTCAAAGACATTCCCTCATGTAAGTATCATACTGATCTTTCACAAGGCACCTGTAGTTGGAAAGTATTGATTACATTTTTTTTTTTTTTTCTTGAGACGGAGTCTCGCTCTGTCGCCCAGGTTGGAGTGCAGTGGTGCGATCTCGGCTCACTGCAACCTCCGCCCCTCCAGGTTTAAGCAATTATCTGCCTCAGCCTCCGGAGTAGCTGAGTAGCTGGGATTACAGGCGCGTGCCACCACGCCCGCCTAATTTTTTGTAATTTTTTTTTTCTTTTTTTTTTTTTAGTAGAGACTGGGTTTCACCATCTTGGCCAGGCTGGTCTTGAACTCCTGACCTCGTGATCCACCTGCCTTGTCCTCCAAAAGTGCTGGGATTACAGGCGTGAGCCACTGCGCCCGGCCCATTCTTTTAATCTTTCAGTTTGGGTGCCAAGTATGTTCCAGGTGTATCTATAACTCTGAGTCACACTTTTTATAGTAAGTACAGATGCCTCTTCGCAGAAATCCGTGTCAGAATTAGTCCCGTTTTCTTCCGCCATACAAAAAGACGAAATGAAGCAGGTTCTTTATGACTATGTATTTTACCAAGTTCCTGTTGGTTGCATGGATGTTTCCGGGGGCTCTATCTTTGCTCTGCTCTTCAGACTCTGTAACACCTGAGCACAGCAGAGCTTTGTTTTTCGTTAATGGATACTTTCATTTTTGTCTTAAAACCACAATGAACTTTGTAAACGATCATGTTTCCGTTTCCCTTTTCACTTTCACCACAAGAAAACTGAAAGCTGAGTCACAGCCAGAACTGACAATGAATAGGAATGACAGGCATTTCTATGCGCTCATCTGACACTTTGCTGCATACTAACTCTACATACACTGTCTCATATAATTGCTACAACAAACCTAGGAGATAGGCAGTATTATGCTACTCCTTTAATAGATAAGGAAACTGAGATTCACAGAAGTCACATAGAAGTTGCAGATATCATACCTTTCACTTAGTGTATATATTTATGTATTTATATATGATATATAACGAGAAATTTTTTCTTAAAAATTTTGTGTAATTGTATGTAATTTATGTATATATTTTCTAAGAAAAAAATTATCTTGTATGACCGTGATACCATCTTCAATTCAGGAAAGTTAATGTTGATATATTGTATTCAATATTAAACCCATATTAAAATTTTGACAATTATTCTAACACTGTTCTAAAAGAAAGTAGGTTTTAACGGCCGGGCGCGGTGGCTCACACCTGTAATCCCAGCACTTCGGGAGGCCGAGGCGGGCGGATCACACCTACAATTTTAGAAGGTTGCTTTAACCCTCTTCCCAAAGTGCTTCTGTGGCCAAAGGGCCAAAATTACAGAACATTATCAAGAAGAGAACTGGAAAGAAATCAGAAACATTATCTGCTCTTGTGCCAAGGACTACTGTGGATGTACCTGGAACACCATACACAGATAAGGTCAAAAAAAAAGAGAGAGAGAAAGAACACCTCCTGGATTTGTCACTGAGGAATATTCTTGAATGGGGCAAGACTTGAAATTCGAATGCTTCAACCCAGGAAGACAAAGACTCAAATAAGATACCATTAAAGCATATAAAATTACAATGTTTCTCATCCTCTGGATTCAGAAAAGAAGCAATTTTAAAGGAAATTTAAAGAAGGATTGCTTCAAGAGTAAGCAGTTCTTACTCTTGTAAGGATTGCTTGTAAGTGGCAATAATAGTTAAAAATATAAACTTAAATATTTATATTTTATAATTATAAAGTTAAACATATAAATTTATTCAAAAAGAATTGAGAAATGTTTATAACTTTTAAATTTGTAATTCATTATAGAAGAAGCCTGTAAGAAAGTAAATTAGAAATGACCCCCACTGCTTTGGGAGGCAGAGGCAGGAGGAGCTCTTGAAGCCAGGAGTTCAAGACAAGCCTGGGCAACATAGTGAGAAACTACCTCAAAAAAAAAAAAAAAAAAAAAAAAAAAAAAAATTAGTCAGGCATGGTGGCACATGCCTGTAGTATCAGCTACTCATGAGGCCGATGGCAGAAGATTGCTTGAACGCAGGAGACTGAGGTTACAATCAGCTATGATTATGCCACTGCACTCCAGCATAGGCAACAGAGTGAGACCTTGTCTCTAAAAAAAAAAAAGAAAAAAATAGAAAAGTATCATTTATATCACTAACCTGTCTTCCCACAAAATATCTTTCCATTGAATGAGTCATTGACCTAGCTCACGGTGACATTTTTATATCATCAGTTTTTCATTGCAGAGTTTTGTCATAGTTTCATTTAATATGATATCTATCATTGGGACTAGCCATGTCCATTTATACATTAATACATACATGTTTAAAGCTTCTATGCAGTTTTAGTATATAAGTATGAATATTTCAAACTCAAACAGAAATCTTTGGGGCAATGGGAAAATTATATGTATTACTTATTCAGTAATAATCATTCAGTAATAGATTTGGAATTTATTTGAAAAGTATACATATATTTCAGAAGTGTGAACCATTAACATTCCTCATCATACTGTTTCATTTCTTTCCCCCTTTAAAGATATTTTTGGTACCTCTTAGTGTCAGTATAAATGATAGTATAGATTGTCCTTAGTTGTTTTCATTCTTGCTGACAGTTTAATAAAAGGTCTGTAAAACAAAACAAAAGTAAGCATGAACCTTATATATCATCTTCACTTGCTGAACAAGTATGTAGAAATGCCTTTATTTTGACTTCACTTTATGAAATCAAACTCAAACCCAAAAATTTTAATGGATTGTATCTGTGTGCTATTAATATCTCACCTCTGAGAGACACCTCAATGTGTGCTGAAGATTTCAAATGTACTTTTCTAAATCATATTTCCAAATACTAAGGTAATCAATATTTTCTGTGAATTTGCAAAAGGGTTCTTAGATTTGGAGAATCTAGAGGATTTGCCTTTTTCAGTGACAATTTGGCTTTTGTTTGTTTCAAGGGACCCCATGGCACATCACAGGGCCCACTACATAGTAAGCATTCAGAAAATATTTCATTCAATGGTTGATTAATTCAGGCTAGAAAGGTCTAAAGGAAGCGAAATGTCTAAAAGGACTTTAATTCTGATGTAGTATGACTGCTAACAAATAAAAGAAACACCTCCAGCTATAATTGTTCATTCATTTGATAACAGTTCCCTGCCTGGTAACTGTGTCAGAGACCCAGAGATGCCCTTTCTCTGATAGTCCACAAGTCCCTCAAGAATGGGAATGTGATTAGCTCAGAGAGTTGCATGCCGCTTCTGATGTCAGCTGCTTCTTTCTTAGACAGCGCAAAGATGAGCTGGAACAGAGAATGTCTGCTCTCCAGGAGAGCCGGAGAGAGCTCATGGTCCAGTTGGAGGGTCTCATGAAGCTGCTAAAGGTAAGACCTGCCAAATAAATTTTTCCTAAGCTTATTTTCCGTGTCATCTGTGAACATTTTTGCACATAATGTGCAATGGTTTTTCCAATTGCTGTATGTGATTTCCCTCAACATGTTGTTTCAAACTCAGATGTGAAACAATTTCTTAGACCAGTGTAGTAGTAGCTGTCAGTAATAGAACACATTCTTATCCATTTCCTGAAACCAGACTGCTGAGGGCCTTCATGGGGCAACTTCTTCTTGGCTTATTTCCAGTTTCTTTATGTCTGCAAGTAATAGAACTGGATTTATTTAGAAATATTTTATATTTAGTAGCTTTCAGCAATTCTGATTAAATTAAGAGGAGTGGCTGTTAATATCAGTAAAATATTTTATTCCATTAGTGTGCTTTATCAGTAAGTCACATGATTTCTAGTGATCTCAAATACAAACTCTATGAGAGAATATCTCCTTTCTCTTCTGCAAGTAAAGTGTTTAATAAGATGATTTATAGAAGTCTTCTGTAGAGTGCTGTAATCTATTTTTCCCATTGGGAAGTGGCATTCTTCTTTTAGTAAAGCCTTATTCCCTTCTTTAGTATACACTAAATTGCATTTCAAGTCAAAGGCAGGCAAATTATGGCCACATGTCTATAGTCAGCCCATGTGATCAGTGCCACATGATCATCCTGCCTGACATAAACAAGCAAGAACCAGTATGGATTGGAACTGTGACATGCCAAAGGCAGGAAATGAAACTTCTGATAGGAGAATGACGAAGGGAAGACCCTGGGGCAGCTCATTTGCGAGACAGGGTCTCCCAGCTTTCAGTCCGTGGATGTCCCACAGCCCCAACACACCAACATTTGTTGTTTTTATTTTGTCTGCCCTTTCTTTCTCTTTTTTTTTTTTTTTTTTTTTTGTTTGTCTACCTTTCTCTTTTCTTCCCCCTTTTTCTTCATTTTTTTTTTTATTTCTTTCTTGGTTTCTCCCTCTTTCCTTCTTTCTTTTATTGTTTAACAAATATTTTTTGAAAGCTACTTTGTCCCAGCCACTGTTCTTGTAACCTTTCTTTCGTTTTCCTTATTCTATTTTATTCCTTAGTCAACTTTTCCCTCCATCAGTATCCTCTTTAGCAATTGGTATTGGGAATACTTTATCTTTACTCAACAAAATTGACTTTTCAGTAAATTAGATTTTTGTTGATCTATCTTGGGCAAAACAAGACTAGATAATTCATAACCTGCTGCTGCTTCTGGCCTGTTAATCTTATTTGATAACCCCCCAAAAAAAACTCTCTCTGAATCCCTTTCCAAATATACCAAATGAAAAGGACTGAACCCATCTCTCCCCTCAGTGAATGACAGGAAGCTTTGAAAACTGCCCCCTATGTTCCTCCTGCTTCTGTCACCATAGCTATGACTCTTTCCCTATGAGTTAGAAGTCTATTCCCTACCAGCCATCTTGGTATCAACCTAGCCTAACAGAGCACCGCCTTTTATCAAGATGTACACATATCAGGATAGAGAGATGGATTGTGTTGAAAAATAGTTGTACATGCAGAGAAAAGAGATGGGCCTGTAGTCTCAAGTAACCAAGTAAACTTGGAGTGATAGTCACTGAGGTGGCAGAGGCCTGGACCTGCCATCAAAGCTGTGTTGATGTTTCCCCATCTTGCATTCCTTCACACTGTATACATGCTCTTATTGGAACCCTGGGTAATCTAACTGTTATTGATTCAATCTTTCTGTAGGAAGAAGAACTGAAGCAGGGAGTAAGTTATGTCCCCTACTGCAGGTCTTAACTAACAGTGGAGGGGCCTGCCGACCTGCGGTTTTCTCATTGCTTTTGCTCTAATGTATGTTCATGCTTCAGTTTGGAAAGAGAAAAAAGTCATACTAATTTGCTTCTTTTTAATGTAGTGCTTGAATTGAGATATATAAATTTAGCATTTTTATAACTATCACTACTATCAGCATCAAAAGAAGAACTATGACATCTTTTAGAAAAGGGACCGAATCGTCATTTCTTGGAAACATTTTAGATCCCCAGAGGTATAAGTTTCAAACCAGTCTTATGCTTTTCAAGTTGTTGATCGGACCCTTCTCTTAATAGAGAGACACTCAACACAGTCACTAGAGATACACTGAGGTTCATGTCATTCCAAAACCTGCAGCACTCAGAAGCTAACCTCTACACCCCCTCACGCTTTGAGTATTCAGTTCGGTTTCATTTTACTGAAAACCTGTGAAACCTCTTTTTATAAAAATCAGGCAATCAAATCCCTTTTCACCACACAATTATTGAGCCTTGATCCCCATGGCTCACCAAAATGTGCTCAATCTTGTGAGGGAAAGACTGTACTCCATAACTGACTGTTCACTACCCATCTTTTTGGCTCTTCCTCAAAACAGAATGCTTACTGTTGGTTGACAATAATCTCTTTTTAAAAGGAACTCCCAGCTTTTTCCTTAGCACCAAGAGCCTTTCTGCTCGGGGAGATGAGAGGGTCATTACATACTTTGTTGTTGTTGTTGTTGTTTTTCCTGGAAATAGGGGCATTCACATTTCCAGTTTTTCTAAACTGGAGCTGTCTGAACCTGTGGTCAGGCTCAAGAGCCAGCAGGGGGAGCAGCATACTCAAGGGAAAAAAATCAAATCAAATTAAATTAAATCAAAGCAAAATAAAAGCAGCTTTAATTTCAAGTGCATGTACTATGCTGTGTATGACAATATATCCCACTCACTAGCATTATTTAAAAGTTTCACATTATTTCCATGGATCAATTAGAACCACAGCCTGTCCAATTTCAACGTATCTTTTATTTCTTCTGTATGCTCTTTTCTATTATTCATTATGTGTGTTTGTGTGTAACAAAGAATGTTTGGAAAATGCTGGACACATTTTTACGCTTCATTCCCATGGTCTGTAAAAAAGGAAAGTGTAAAATCAATCTGTAATGTCAGACAATAAAGATAATGTATTACATTATTTTGTATTTTGTGAAAAGAATTACTTTACTAAATTAAAGTCAAATTTTAACAGAAGACAGTCCCCCTGGGTGAAGGGCACATAACACTTACAGCCTGTATAATTGCCCATGAATGTATACATGGGGTATTGCTATTGTATTTCCAATACACTTAGATCATGGTAAAGAAAAATGCCTTCTTCATGATACTTCTTTGCAAATGGCTTCTTTCCTTTCCTGTCTCTTAGCATGTGCATAGAAAAAGGAAATAAGGTTCAATTATAACCTCCCTCCTCCTAGCAGAGAGAGAGGGCAATCATCCTGTCCTCATCAGCCTTGCTTTAGCCATTTCCCTTGGGGATACCTTCCCAGCCATTTCCCAGGCAGCACGATCTTGAAAGGCTCCTGTGGACCAGGAAGTTCCTAAACAGATGGATGCACAGAGCCAAACTGCGGCAGTGACCCCAAGGTGGCACCACTGCCCCCTCACCTTCCAGCTTCTCTCCACCAAGCCCCTCAGCAGCTTCTGCATCTCGGGGGGCCAACGGCGGGTACTGCGGTGTAGGTACCTAAGGACCAGGGGCCCACATCACCCAGATGTCAGCAATATATTGTCTGGGTGGTGACAGTTTGCCTATTTCACTCATTTATCTTTTTGCTTTTATACACAAGCCTCTTTTCAAAAAGGAGCTGAGGCAGCTTATGCCAAAAGATATAAACAGTGACTTCATAAAATTGAAATAGAAAAATCAAAAACTAAAGAAAAGAAAATGTGAATATGCTAATCTTAAGGGACAAGGATGTTACTCTGCACGTTCAGGCAATGAAGCAAACAAAAGAAAATATCGGTGGTTTTATCAGTACAGAAATACCACTTCTCAGGGGAACAAAATTTCTGTTGGCATAAAATATGAAAGAAAGTCTTCACTGGGAGCTTTATAGGAGTACTGGACAATAAAAAAGGAAAGAAAGCAGTCATAGATTTCATGTGGCTGTTTCTTATACTGACCTCAGTCAAAATTAAAAGCAGAGCCTTATCGATCCTAGCCCTAGAGAGGCGGTTCTGCAAAGAAATAAACAAATGCGGTCCAAATATAGACTTCTCATGGTAAAACATGATCTAAGGAGAGAATTTAGAGGTTTTAGACTGGCATCTGCTTCTAAATTCTGTTTTTATTTATGAGTGTTTCTCCCCTTTGGGGACATTATCTTTGTAAAACCAAACTTAGAACACCCCCACACAACAAATTGTACTTGATTTAATAACCTCTACTTGCTTTATCATAAGTCTGTGGTTCAATGTAGTGTTTTATTATACTGGCATATATAATTTCTACTTCATTCTTTCTTGTTAGAGGTAATGCATGAATTTATCCCTCTCGAGGATAGAACATGAATTTAAAAAAATAGTGCCTGTAATATAATGTGATGATTATGATATCACAAGCAATAAATTTTTTTTTATAAAACTTGAATGGAAGTTATCCTACCCTCTTTCTTCTTTGTGTATCTTTAAGATTTATTGAAGGAACCATAAAAAGAACACTCATAAAACGCTTAATAATGAAGGCAGCTGGGGTATAATTGCAGTACCAATATGTTCCAGAGTTTCTGGTACACTTCCAGTTCCAAATATTATGTACCAGTCTAAAACTGAGTAGCCTGACTTTGACTCCACAAACTAAGGTCTCAATATTCATTTTCTTAGCAAAGTTACCAGAATTAGACCTGAATTACAGTGGTCCCAGAGTTTTGCTCACAGCTATAAGCTTAACTTACATGGTCATTAATTTCAAACTATTGATAATCCATGGCTAATAGGATTATTGTATAGATTTTAATAGATACTGGATGTGAAAGCACTTTGTAAAATATATGTCAACTCTAAGTATGAATGTATGTATATAAGTATACATACGCACAGGTATATACAAACTTTTCAAATTTGATCCATATTTTACACATACCCACATACACATACACACACCCACACACACATTCACTTCTGTTCCTTACAGTTCATTAACAGTGTCTCCATCAGGGAAAGAAA